CCTTCTATTATTATTTCAAAATTAGACCTTGTTTTTGTCCTACTTTATGGCTATTTCAACAATGAAAACTGACCGATAATGGGGTAAGAAAAAGAACAATTACTTACTGAATTAAAAACCCTTGAAATTATTTTTCATTCTTTCATCTTGGCTTATTTTGCTGCTGAGTCTCCTTAACTTCATTAAGAAAAACGTAAGACAAGTTAGTTATTGAATCCGTCGTCAAAACACTCAACAATTTTTCTTCGATGGTCAAATTGATTTTTTATCTTTATCGTTGAACTTGTTTACATTAAAGCCTGCTTACGTAAATGAAACTCACATACTATAAGATGAGATTCTTTTTGAATAATTTTTGTTTAATATTCTTCCCTTTACTGATTCACATCACAGACAAGATAGTTCTAAAAATGTAGCACCGTAAGTATCAATGCAATTTTAAATATGGTAATCTTAATCATTTATAATTACCATTTAAATATTATTTTAAAATCATACTATATTATTAGCGCGATTATTAATTTTAAAATGTATCTTTTGAATAATTATTATTTTAAAAATGTATCGATTGATTATTATTTTATCAAATAATCTTTGGAATCCAACAAAGGATTAAATACACTTTGTGCTATGTAGACTAGAACAATAAATAACAAGAATTAAGTTCAAAACTGTATTTTCATTTATGCTTAATTCAAGTTGTTGTTCTTTTCTTTGGAACAATTAATACATTAAACTAATAATATTTTAATTATTATCACAACTGTTTTAAACACTAAATTAAAAAAAAATTTGTTGTTATTTATGAATTTAAGTTTGCGTACATAAATAAAATTCACATAATATTAATAGCGTTTTTTAATCATTTATTTTATTTTTTATTTATTTTTTATTCTATTTTTTATTTATTTTTTATTCCATTTTTTATTTATTTTTTATTCTATTTTTTATTTATTTTTTTTGGAATAAATTTGTGTTAGATTTTCATTTTATTACTATTTTACTTCTAAAAATGTAGAACTGCAAGTATGGAGAAATAATAAAATATAATAGTCCTTAATTTAAAAATTCATCTTATTTATGAATATTTTTATTTAAAAAATACCCTTTTAATAAGTAGAATTTTAAATAAATAATAATTAACTGTTAATATTTTAACAATAATGCATTGTTCCCTTTTTTAGAGACTGCAAATTAGCACAATTTCTGCGGGCAACTTCTAAAATTTTTAATATTTTTTATCAAAATATATGAAAAAATTTAAGAAGTGGTAGTTAAAGTTAAGTTTTACAAGAGCCTTTGTTAAGTTATCCCTAACATTTTGACTTATCCCTAATTTATCCCTAATATTGAACATCTAATGCTGCATTTTTTCAAGTAATTGCAGTATTAAATGTAATGAATACATATCTTCTGAGTCACATATTTTGTAATAATAACTGAACTAGAGTGAAAAGGAAATGTTTTTTCCTAGATCATTTTAACTTTTCTACTTGGAGAGAAGAAATTCTGGTAAAATGTATTGCATAGTAATGACATTTTTGTCAAAATAAAACACATTTTTGGTTGATAAAACCGAAACATGTGGTATTTAAACCATTCATTTGGTAATTTTTCCGTTCACATAGTAACGGTTACCGGAAATTCGGATTTCGAAAATTACAGGTCTTATTACTACGCATTTGAAACAAATGCAAGTATGAAAAGCTAATTTAACCTAATAAAAAATTTTCATACCATGTTCTAATGTATCAAGATAAAATTGCCAAATGTTACTTAATTACCTACATTTACTAAATTTTATCACACATTATAAAACTATATTTTATTAATAATATTACAAAACTCATTTCCAAAACGCTTCGACTAACGCTTGTAAATAAAAAATTTTTGGTATTCCCATAGAATTAAAAACACGGTTAATTTAAATACATGCTGGTAGATTTGACCATACATTTTTCTCAGTACATGATCATTAAAAATTATGTATTTTATTTTTTAAAACAGTATTTTTACTGTATGAAAACATATCGCATGCAGTCTGTGAATATAAATATTAATTTTTACCTACATGATTTTTATTATATTTTTTCGTCAAATTTTCTTGTCTTACCCACGTTCAGTTAATAAAACTTTATACTACTTTCATGAAAGCAAGAAACAAATATCATTCTTAAGAGCATTGTTTGTATAAAATCATAAAATCAGTTCGATTTTGGAGCGGAATTTTAAGTGTATAATTAATTAAGAATTTTAAGTGAATTTTAAGTAATATATTTCCTAACAGTATTTTCCAATTTTTAAAAATCACATAATTACAAAATAAAATATTTAAATATCTTTATTTTTTTTAAATGAATAAATACTTTTCCATAAATAAATTTAAATAAAGTACATGAATTACTTTGAGATTTTGTTTGCTGTTAGATATAAAACAAATTTTGAGTGTCTTTCTCAATTAATTCCTATATACATTTTTATTCAGTTAGACAATTGTGAGAGTAAATAAAACTTTTTCGTGTATTATTTACTGTTATTAAAAGTAAAACAATACAATAAATCATGAATTTCGTAAAAAATATCACTCTTAATGAATCGTTATCTTTTTCATATTGATTAAAATCGCTTTAACTTGCATTAAAATCACATTTATTTGTCATAAAGTCGCAATTATTTGAAAAGATGCGCAACTTTCTTTCGCGATCTTTCCTTTTTATTAATTCTTTAAAAAAAAATTTAATAAATTTTCAAAAAAAGTTCTAACTTCCCTGCAGAAAATATTTTTATTCTTTTTTGCTGAAATCTTGCATTACTACCTTGCACTGCGTAATAAGAACAATATAAAATGCAATTTTCATGTAAAGAAACAGAAATAGAATAACAATCTAGCTTTAAAAAAGTAGCTAATTAAAAATTTTAAAATTATATTAGTGCAAGTAAAAGTTTTCTCATACTGTTACTATAGCTGGTATTACCCAGCTGTACAGAACAGAATGGCTTTAAAAGGTGGACCTAGTTCTCGGATTAAATTCTAGTTGCTTAACCACGTTGGGAAAAACAAACAATAAACGTTTGAATATCATCTTTTTTACGGTTATTTCACAGTTTTGATTGAATATGGTAAAATAACGATTGAATAAATTGCTATTTAACCATATTTACCGAGAAATTTCTAACAGTGTTTAATTGGCAATGAAACAAAAATGCGTCATTGAACTTAAATGAAGGTGTTTTCAATATACGCATCATTTTAAAGATAATTTCATAATGATATAACAAAACAATAACTAATGGTTATTGCGAAAATTATTAATATAAAGTGATAAACCAATAATTTGCGCAACATACACTAAGCCCGTCATGATAAAAGGAATTAAATTGGATATTAAAAATTAAAAAAAATTAGCCACCCACAATAACACTAAACTCTTATATTACACTGATAGTATGTCTAGTGACTGTTTTTCTCAGTCACAGCGTATTGAAAACTCTTTAAAAGGAAAAAGTCACTTTAACCAGTTTGTATATTTACCCTCGATTGATATTTCAAAAGACGCAATTTTCTGGACAAAAAAAAAATTTTATTACAAAGTTTTGTAATGAAAATTCACAAAAACTTCAAAATAAAAAGTAATATTTTTAAAAACCACGTTTTTGTAGTGGAGAATAATAATTTTAAAAAAATTGAAAATCGAAAAACGTGGGGCGCATGAAATACATAACAGTAATGTTATATTAGTGTGTGTATGTGTGCTCTTGAGAATATGTGTATGTATATCTGTAATTGCAATTGCATCTGAATATGGATGTGGAATATGTTTGTGTATATGCGTATGTATGTGGATGTATATGTGGCTGTGCATGTGTTTGAGTAAGAAAATGTGTATATGTATGCGTATATGTACTGTTATGTATTTCATTCGCCCCACGTTTTGCGTTTTTCAATTTTTTTTTAATTATTATTCTCTACTACAAAAACGTGGTTTTTAAAAATATTACTTTTTATTTTGAAGTTTTTTATTTTAAATTATAGTTTTTTTAATTTTTAATTTTTATTTTATATTTTTTAAAAATTGTCGTTTTTTAATTATTATTCTTCACTACAAAAAACGCTATTTTTAAAAAATATATATTTTTATTTAGATTATTTTTCTTAGTCAAGAGTAGTCAAGACTACTACAAGACCACTACTAAAATAATAGAACTTTCATTTTAAATTAGGGATACAAAAATCTTTATAGAAAAACAATACCTTTACGACTTTCATTAGTTTTATGCTGATGACAACCAAAACGATCTGGAAATGAATGAGGAAAAACTGGATCCTACCACGTGATTTTTCAGCCAATAAAAATACTCCGACAATAAAAATCTTTTCACCTGACATGTAATAGTAATTTGAAATAATGGAATCGACAACAAAAGGCAATCTCGAAAAAAAAAACTTTTCAAATTTTAATTTTATTTTACTTTGTATGTCTTTTTTCTCTTCATTTTCATGCATTGTCATCCAATTCTGAACTATGTGCCAAATTTGAAGTTTGTAGCTAGTCGGGAAGTTGATTACAAAATTCCACCCGGACAGACATACATGAAGGCAAATTTATATAAACGTGGTAAAATAAATAAAAATTGCAATTTCATAATAAAAAAATATATATTTAATTCCTTGTTGCTAGTTTTTGCTTTCACATTATATATCTTACGATACTCTCTCTAAAAATAATTGAGGAAAACATATTTTCCAGCAATTACCTTGATCTGTAACTTTATTGAAAGTAGCAATAAAGTTACCTCTTTTTAGTCACCTGTTTAACACATGTGCTTTAAGTAGCAAAAACAACAGCAACAGCGATATTACAAAAAAAATTATCAAATACAAACGTCGTTAAAGCGAACATTATAACAACGAATCCTGGAGTGTTCAAAACAAATAACAATCAATTTAAAAGGGATATATAAAGAGAAAACAAGAATCTCACTATACATTAAATTGAGTTTTCCTTTAACTTAGAATTTTCACTCTAATTCTCTTCTCATTTTTTTAATAACGAATTGTAGCATTAATGAAAAAAACTTCAGTTAATAAAAGTATTCTGCTTATTTAAAAAAAAAATCAAGTTAATGTCTGAAAATATTATAATATTTTATAAAGTTAGATACCTTTTATGGAATAGGAGAGGGTTATCAAGGTATGATAAAGCTAGTACCACTTCTGGTAAGCTATATTTTTTATTGTAACTATCTATTTTATTATTTGCAACACTAATACGTATATTGTTAAGAAAGCCGAGGAAATTTCTTTCCCCTTAACGTACATGATTTACGAATGATGATTTTTTTTTAAATAAGGGCTGAACATCTGAATCTAAATGAGATAAAAGTTAGGCAGAAATGAAAGATTAATGGTGAACACTTCTTCTAACTAAATAGTTCTATATATTTTTTTTTGCTCCGTTGTTTTAATAAGTGAATAATTTCAATAAAAAATTCAATAAACAATTTGAGCGAAAATTTAGATTTAATCGACAAAGATCGGTCTGCTTTGCTTTTTTTAAAACTTGTTTTTTTTATGCATTTTACGAGTTAATGTTAAAGTAAAGAAAACTCCAATACGTGACCACAAGCACAGGAATTTTTATTTGCGTATAAACGGAAATTCAAATACAATTTCTAATCAGCAAGGAAATACATACAGTAAATCAAATTTAAATGTATATAAATTAATGAAATGTACATAAATAAAAAGTTGCTGCTGCTGAATCAAGGGTTGCTTCTATGGCTTCCTCAGTTGTTAGTGCTGCCCGTCCAGTTGGCGGGGTTCCTGTGGCTAACATTAACCAAGACCGTCCTGCTGCTTACAAGTATACTTCAAACATGCGAAACACACTTCAGCAGCCGCAAACAGCTCAACAAGGCCGGGATAGCCTGGTTGATAGGGCACTGGGCCCATGTCCAAGAGGTCGTGGGTTCGATCCCCGCCGGCCGAAGACTCTCCGTGTAGTAAATGTTAACTGATGCACGTCAAATCTGTCGAGTCGCAAAGTCCTCCATGTTCCCATAACAAATCAATATCTCTGGGGGTACTGATCCGGGAGTTTCATTGTCTTCTGGATTGGTTCAAAATTACAAAGCTACGGAGCTGAACATTAGTAGTCGTAAACCCAAAATTGGGTCGGCTGTTCAACGACGGTTGTAAAATAAAATAAAAACAGCTCAACAAGCTGCAGCAGCCTATTACTTTAAAATGCTAACGTTTAAAAAAAGAGTCTAAAAAAAGTATCACAAATTTGTTAAGAACATTTCTTTTGAAACATTTTTAATGATATTTATGCACGTTTTGATTGTATTTTATTGCTTTCAATTTCGTTTCATAAGAACAGACATTTTTTTTTTTAATTTTACACTTGTTAGAAATAGGAAATTTTTTATGAAAAAATTTATCTTCTACTTTTTCTTTATTCCATGAATTATGCAAAACACTCATCTATAGTTAAAATAAAGTATATTTTTAATAAAATTATATATATTACTAACGAAAGATAGTAATGTAGATATAAAATGCAGATATATAATCAAACGAAACCTTAGACTTTATTAATTAAGAAAATTTTGATCTAATCAAGCATATCTTTGTATTATGGTAAGCAAACGCAATGACGCCTACCTATTAAGTAAAAACAATCCTTTCTCAGTACTTGATAATTATTACTTCTTATAATAAGTATAATGTTCTTCGACGATAGTTATGCTTCTGCATATTTTATTTCTTTAGGATATTCTGAAGAATTTCAATCTCTTAAGATTGGAATTAACTCACGCTCACAAATAAAAAAGTAAGTTTTTAAAAAGTACCAATATTACCACATTACATCATCACTTTCATTGTTAAAATTGCCAATGATGTTCTTTAATTGCAGGTGTTTAACGAAATCAAAGAACTATCAAGATGAAAAATAGAGGCTTGGACAGCAAATATAGTTGGATGGTAGCTGTAGCTGGAAGTATAGTCTTCCTTCTGACGACTTGGCCGATGAGATTAGGCTCCCAACTCTTTGTATTCATGATAGAACGTTATGATACAACCCGAAAAGCAGCTTCGTTTCCGTTCTCTCTGTCCTACTTTATGCGAAGCATTTCAGGTAAATAAATTATTGATGTAGATGATGATATAAAACAATAATTCTTAGCATAATTTTTAAAGTTTTTCTTTTTCTTAATGTTGGTAAATTCAATTGACTACGCAGTTAGAAATAAAACTCTCACTTTTGACGATTTAGGAATCCTTGAGCTTTGTTTCGTTGAATTTTGTGTATCATTTCGTCACGAAATCACGTTATTTGTGACAAAACGCTTACTCTCAAATGTATTACGAAAATGTTTCCTCGATTGACAAGTGAATTGTGGGAGATTATTAACCAGAATGAAGACTAAACGATTGAAAATAAAGTGACGCAACAAGCCGGCTAACCTATATGATAATCCAGAGTTCGAATCCCTCTTCGGGCATATCTGCAATTTATCTCTCTGTTCTATCAGTATTTCTTTTCTTGTTAAAGACGGCATTGATTCAACTATATGGTGCCCATGACAAAGTGGTTATCAGAAAAGTTAGATACATTAGGAGCCACTAGGATTTTTTTTAATTGAATGAAGATAATTTTGACGAAATTCATTTCCTCGAAAAAGTTACCAATTTATTTGAGCCGTGGTGGCTCAGAGGATAGAGCGTTTGCCTTTTAATGACGTGACCCGGTTTCGAATCTCAGTGATGGCAGGTCGATACCAATTCCGCAACCGGTTCACACTGACCACAGTGTTTGCGTGAAATATCCTCAGTGGTAGACGAATTATGGGTTAGAGTCCCTTGCCGTCAGGCTAACCGTGGGAGGTTCTCGTGGTCTTCCTCGCCATGTAAAGCAAATGCGGGTTAGTTCCATCAAAAAGTCCTCCAAGAAGGCAAATTTCTCCCAATACTTGATCCCGGAAATCCCTTGTCTTCTGGATCGGGTTCAAAATTACAAAGCTAAGAAGCTGAACATTAACAGTCGTAAACCTAAAATTAGGTCTGCTGTTTAAAGTCGGTTATAAAACAAAACTGTTATTTCGGCGTTTCATGCCGTAAATAACTTTTGTTTAATTATGCAGACATTTATGCAACTATTTGATGATGATAAAGTAACATTTCTTCAATTTGCAATATAAAATTCTTTTTTTATTAAAACAATATTAATTATTTAAATAATGAGAATAACTTGTTTATTTTTGCCGATACACGCAGAATATAAGTAATTACCAAAAATCTTGTTGCAGAACGTTAGATATAGTTCCGCACACAGAAAAAAAATTCTAGTATAATTACCGTATTCTATAATAATAACTTTCATTACATAATTTAGGTTTATTAAACCAAAATATACAGTATTTAAGCCATTTAGTAATCTTTCCGTTCATATATTTTGGTTTTCAAAATTATAGTTCTTATTACTACGTATTAAGTAAAATCACAAAACTGAAAAGTAAATTTAACCGAAAATGGTTTTTATACCATGCTCTAAGGTGCCCAGATGAAGCTACCAAATTTTACTACATTTACAAAATTTTATCACAGGTTATAAAACCATTTGTTTGTTAATTTTAACCAAAATCTTGACCTTTTCGCTTCGCTAAAAATTAACGAGCTGCTTGGAGTTCCCATAGACCCAGAAACATGGTAAATTTCACCATACTCAATTATTTTTTATAATACATTTTCTCAGTGTGCTCATGGGATTTCATGTATAAAATACAAAACCTGCCAAAACCAATTTTCCAAAGTCCAGTTTTCTGTAAAGCGATTAATAAAACACCAATAGTAGGCACCATTAGAATAATATCGCTTACTCAAAGTGTTTAATAGGATATATAACAGACGCTAATTCTGAGGATATACACAACTGAAAAAAAAAATTTATATCTGGATAGAAAATTGGCCTGTCATTATCTGAATAAAGAACAGGTAACGAAAATTTTAAAGACTAGTGGCGTCAAAATGACGTTTTTATTTGATAGTCGTCTTTTCTAAGAAAATTGTACGTGTGACGTCATTCTAACGCCATTTATCATTGATATTCAATAGCACCGGAACATCGAATAAGCCTTTAGTTCTATCGGATGGTTTCAGTGAGTTTAAATGATAAGGTTTTTAAAATATTTATGTTATGCTTCTTAGAATACTTTATTTACTTTTTCGTAAAGTTTACCTCTTTTTATGGTCCTGGACGAAGGACTCTGTCATCCAATAGGCAATCTTCTCTCTAGCATCAAACAAATTTCAATAATTTTATTATATAGAGAAACATTCCGAAGAAAAGAAAGAATCTCATAATTTCACTCTTTTGCAAAACGGACAAAAAGTGTCTTTGTTTCAGATTCCAAGATTTGTCCATTATATATGAAATTTCAAATCTTTCACTGTATCGGTTTCGAATTTTTAAGTTCTAATTAATATACATTTAGGATCCAAACGAACAACGAAAAATTTAAGTTGAATTTTTTCTATTAAAATTCATTTTTCGTTAGAAATTAAAAAAATTCAAACAAAAATCCAATCAGGGTTTTAAAACCTTAACGGCATAGGCAGAATTTTTAAATCATTTACTATATGAGTTTTGAATTTTTATTAGTTAACAAATAAAAAATACAACCTATGTTTTTTAATTAAAAATCATATTTAGTTTGAGATAAAAAGAAAAGAAAACAAAAACCCATTTATAGTTTTGAACCAGAAACGTGATGGACAAAATTTCATATGATTTACTACATGTGTTTTCAAGTTCTAATCCTTTTAAATACTTGATAGCAACAAAAAAATTTAATCGGAGATTTTCATTTGCAATTTATATTTAGTTTTAAATATAAAAATAAAACATAAAATCAATGAGGGTTTTGTACCTAAAACTCCAAAGACAGCATACCTAAGCGTCACCTGGAAATAACATTTGCCACAATCTATATCCTTTTTCATAGCAAAATTAACACTTCATTCAAGTAACAGAAAAACTATTTAAAGTCAGCTTTTTATTAATTGCTCGTTATCGAAATATTACATTGCACTTAATTCCATTTCCTGGTTAGACTGAAAAGCTTAGTAATTTTGCTTGCCAAACTATTTTATTTTTCTTCTTCATCAGACTGATTTCTCAGTTTTTTTCTACTAAAGCATAATCCACGTCAAAATTAATCTTAATTTTCTGTTCAAAATGTGATCCATGTTAATTGGTTATTTATAATATCTTCATTTCTAAGAACGACGTTTGTTACGCAAGTCTTTAAACGAGAATTATGACATTTTTGTAACACCAATTTTTTTTTAATTCGGTTTATATTTCTCAGATATCTAACTGAGTGTAACGGAAGGAAAATTTATTACAGACATTTCAAGTTTCCTTTAAAAATGGATAGAGTCATTCCTTAAATATTTTAACACTGCTTAACAAACAAGAGTTTACAAAAAACATTCAAACTCATTTAGAGTAAAGAGATTTTGTCTATCTAATGAAATGTAACAAATATCACTGAAATTAGACTGTTTCTTCAAAAAAAAATTAATTACCAAAATCTTTTTTTTTGGTAGAAAAATTTGTTATGTCTACATAAATGATACCTGAAAACTCCCTCTCCTCTGTACGTTTTCCCCATTTTTAAGGGAAATGGGGATTATTAGAGAGGGAAGCGGTTTTCTTCTAGGCAGGCAAGTGAAGCTTTGTTATTTATATATTTTTGCACGCTTAATTGAATGACACCAATCACGATACAATCAAACGATTAGCTTATGCGTACCTGTTTACTCATCTGATAAAAAAACAAGTGAGATAATGTTTCCTGTGTATTTTTACGCTGATACGAATATAACTATACACGAGCCCAATAGATCGAATAGTTCGAATGTTTCGAATGTTCGAATGTTCGAATGAAGTTACAAATGTTTCCGTGTATAAAAAGCACTATTTTTGACATGAATTAGTACTCTTTTTACTTTATCGTCTAAGGGCTATATGAACATGTGACAATCATTTTCCTATGAAAGCTTTGATACTGAATTGAATGAAATAAAATTTGAATTGATTGGATAAATAGTTTTGAAGTTATAAGGGTTTTCTTATGATGTATTTTTGCACGCTTAATTGAATGACACCAATCACGAGACAATCAGGCGATTACTTTATGTGTACCTATGTACTCATCTGAAAAATCTATCTAAACAAGTGAGACAATGTTTCCTATGCATTTTTTTACGTTGGTGCGAATATGACTACACGACATAATAGATCGAATACTTTAAAAGTTACAAACGTTTCTGTGCATAAAAAGTACTATTTTTGACATGATTTAGTACTCTTTTTACTTTTTCATCTAGGGGCTATATGAACATGTGACAAGCATATTCCTATGAAAGTTTTGATACTGAATTTAATGAAGTAAAATTTAAGATGATAGGATATATAGTTTTGAAGTTATATGGGTTTTCTTCACAATAAGTATAATACACAGAAATAGTACATTTTGTACAGTAAAAAAAATCATTTCAACTTTTGAAGTATAGTATTTTTTTATTTGTATTTGGTTTCATTCGAGTAAACGAGAAAAAATACATAGAAAACAATGCATACAAAAGAAAAATAATGATTGTTATTGCCTATTGTACGTAGTTTAAGAGTTTCTATAATTTTAAAATATGATTTTTTTTAAAAGAATTTTGGGTGAAGTAATATTTAGTGCTCATCAGTTGGAAAATTTTTGATTGGTATTTAAATGTTTTTTATGAATTTTTAGGACCAATCGTCGGATTTTTTGGAGAAAAGTTTGGGTTGCAACAGGTAACTCTATTTGGATGCTTTTTATGTGCACTTGGAGTAGGAGGATGCTTCTTTGCTGAAAATATCATTACTGTCGATTTATGTCTAGGCATTATTTTTGGTGAGTAATTTAGATGACAAACAACCAAGAATTTTAAAAGCAAATCGTCTGAAAAAGAAAGTCATGAGACAACTTTTTTTAAATAATGACGTCTTACATTTAAAAAATTGCCTTTCCAATTAAAGTTACTCTTATGCGTATTAAACATCTTTTCGTGGGAACCAATCACATTTGTTTAAACAACGCTGATAAATTTCCTTACACTAAAGTTCCTAATAAAGTATACATTTCTTTATTTATTTATTCATTTTTATTTTAAAAAATGTAACTCAGAGCAAAATACATTCAGTTCTCCAGACGTTAGGGTAACTTCACAAGAAAACTGGAAAAAATTATTAATTTGTAAGCAAAATTGATCATTTAAGATCATTTCACTAGTAATCGAATCAAAGAACAGACAGGTTTAAGAAAGATAAAGTTTAAGGAATTTTAAATTTGATAAAGCGAAACGCACACACACAAAAAAAAATGTAAGTTTAACGAAAATATACTTTTAAAAGGATTTTGAACGCATATTTTATGGTGGAAAATTTATTCTGAAAGTAAACTTAAAAAAGCAAAGTTGAATTCTAGGACTTATTCTAACGTAGCAAATTTTACGATTTCAAGATTAGTGGTAAAAATTTCATTCTGATCCTTTCTTCTTTTTTCCGTTTTTTTATTTTCGATTATAGTTCTTTTTAACCTGAGTTTGCATCTGAGTTAATGTGTCTTCCTGGTACTGGCATTTTTTGGCCGCATCCGGTTCTAGCTTATTAAACTGAACATTCAATAAAAAAACTTCAACATAACTTTGAATTTAAAAATTAAAATATCATGAGCATTATCGCAAATTTTTTAAACTCACATTGGCGCAGCATAGCCGTTTCCAGCTCCTATTTGAACATTCAATTGAACGTTCAATCGATCTAAAACATTTTGAATTTCAAAATTAAGGCTGTTTCTCGAAGGCTGCGTCGTAATGTGAAATGATGTTTTGTTTGCGAATAATATGCTATTTATTTCATAACTGCTGTGAGTTTGCAACTGTTACTCGTGAATGTAAAGTCAAGTCTATCTAAAGCCAGCAATGTCTACACTTATTTTGAAAATTATGCAAAACGTTAATATGGAGAAAACCAATGTTTCATGAATGTAAAAAGCGTTTGTGGTCTTAATTTTTTAAGATTTAGTAACTTACTCCGATGCTACATTACTTGGGTTCCTAAAAATTTGAAAAAACTGAGAATAAGGCAGTGAGTTTGATAATTTTTATGGATAGTTTTTAGAGGAAAAAAATGTCCCCAAATTGGCAATTTACTAAAAAAGTTTAATAACTTTTGAAATATTTTAATTATTTGTTCGTTCTAAAACCCAGATAATTCTTCCCAGCCAGATTATATATATAGTTTAAAATTATTGCATTGCTTCAAGTATAAGGCACTTAAACTATGGCATTTTTATTTTTCTTGATGGCAGAGAGCTTCGAAAAACAGCATTAAACTAATTTGTTTGGCTTTAAGCTATTCACATACAGAATGCATTTTTAGTATGTGGTTTTAACTGAGCAGTAAGTTTAATAACTTTTCATCACTTAATTGTATGCATGATAACGCTGCGCGTAATTAGCACCATTTACTACACAACTCTCAAATTTTGTTTTAGTAATCTGATTCAATAAAAAATAGGTCAAATAAAAACTATTTCATGGTTAATGTTGAGTACACTGATAGCCTTTAATTGTTAAAAGAATGTTAATCTACCAATATTTTCCTTTGGCAAACATTCCTTATTAGAGTAAACATAAACCCATTGTGTAGAACTAGTCTTAAAAATTAAATTTTTAATAACAGTATTATAATAACAAGTAATAAAAAGTTATGCAATCAAATTTTAATAAGCGTAAAAAACAAATTTATAAATTTAACTTGTCATTATCCAATTTTCATGTTTCAAGTGGCTGAAGTATTACATAATTAAAAACATAACTAAAAGTTTTGTCACATATCGTTTTTGAAAGTTTGTGCTTCAGTGTTTTGTTATATTTCATACATAGAGCCACAGTGAATCAGGATGGAGACCGTTTCCCAATGAGGTGTCCCAGATTCGAATCCCAGAGGTGGCTGATTGATACAAATTCTGCTCCTAGCTTACACCGACCACAGTGCTGACGTAAAATACCCTCAATGGTAGGTTACAAGCATTGGGACAAACTCAAAGTCTAGTTCATCCCAATGCTTGATACAGTAGTACCCTTGTTGTTGGGATAACCGTGTGAGGTTTCTTCAATGTGACGCAAATGCTGGTTAGTTCCATAAGAAAGGCCTCTACGAAGCCTAGTTTGTCACAATGCTTTATCCAGGAGTTCCCTTGTTTTTATGGGTTGGGTTCAAAGGTACAATGCTACGGGGTTGAGCATTGAAAATCATAAATTCAAAATTGGATCTGCTGTTCAACACCGGTTAGAAAATAAAATGAAATATATCTCTTATTTGGTGATTTTTAAAAAAAATTTCTAAGTGGCTAAAATTATTTACTGAGTACTCTTGATCGAAATAAAAAGTATAGGACGCATATTTTGAATAAAACGAATGAAATAATTTCTAAGAAAAACATTTACCTATGCAGGCAAAATGATAACCATTATATTATTTTACTTTAATTCCGGAAATATATATTTGAGACTAAATTCTTGGAAAATAAAAATATTTTTTTATTAATTTTCAGGAACTGGTTTCGGATTATCAACACTAATAGTTCCTGAAATTATAAATTTGCACTTTGACCAACATAGAGCCAAGGCAAATGGTATAGTCTTTGCTGGGGGTGGCCTAGGAGCCTTCATAACACCACCAATCATTGAAATGATTCTTAATGACTATGGTGTGTCTGAGACATTTTTAATTATGTGTGCCATATTGCTCAATGCCATACCGGCAGCTATGCTCATGTCTGTACCGAAAACTAGCAAAAAAGTTGTGGAAATTAAATCACCAGAAACATTCAAAGATATTAAAAGTGTGAGACCATCTCAAGACATATCGTCATGCTTACAATATCACGCGTCATGCTTGGAGGAAAAGCCAAAAACAAATAAAGAAATTTCGAATGTTGAGTTTCCTGAATATGGCTTTCTCAATGGTCATTACAATCCTGTTGCCAAAACAGAAATAATACTAAATGAAAAGAATGAAAATGAATCGAAGATTTGTACGGAAGACGAATACTTGTCGAAAAATCCAGATTTTAAAATAGTAAATGAATCTAAAATGTCAATGTCTGATGTCTTCTTTCCCCACGAGGTCAACTTTTCGAAATCGAACTTTCTCGGACGTTCACGTCAAGGTCGGAGATTGACCCCAGTGTTAATTGACGTGAGAAACCTAAGAAAGCCGAGTCTTCCGGGCTCAACGGAAAGCTTGCAAACACTGAATGAAATTGAAGCACTTGAAAAACTTTCTACCAAATCACCTTATGCTTCTTGTAACGTACTATGGGATCCCGTATTTTTAACCTTAACTTTGATTCAGAGTTTATCATTATACGTAATGTACATATTTTGGACAATTACAGTTGACATCGTACGTGATAAAGGGGTTCACAGAAATTTAGAAATATATTTTGTGATGTCTCAGTCACTGTTCGACATGATAGGAACAGCGACGTTGGGAATCATACCCGACAGTGGATACATGTCAGAAGGTAACTTCTGTGCCTTTTGTTTCGGAAGCATGGGACTTTCCTGCATCCTACTGATTTATGTATCTGGTTTCTGGCCAACAATTGTCGGCATAAGTATACTCAGTGCAGTGCTTGGTGGAAATGTAACCGGACTCCCCGGCATAATAACTCAGTTTATAGATGAAGATAAAAGAGGGATGGCAATGGCATCTCGGTTTATAATGTATGCCCCCATGAGCTTCACAATGTCACCTCTAATAGGTAAGTGTGAAACTTTTTAATTGATTGAAGTAACAAAAACAAAAGCATGTACAGATCGCAAAAAAATAAACAGTGCACCCTGGAAAATTTTTGATCTATTAATCAGATCTTCATGTTCTAGTACTCAATCTTATAGGTTCGAAGAGGTGACCTAAATATGTTTATTAATAAGTGCCAACGCGATACTTCAAGTTGCGATATCAAACACAAAAACGTACTTTCTCTGAATACACATATCTTCTTTTCCAAAGATTCGGATTTCTGATAGTTATAGGGGATAGCCGCAATCTGGGAAATATGGTCCCCTTAGTTTTTTCAGGAATGCGATCCAAAGTGTGGGCCCTTTAATGTAAATTTTACTCTTTTACGTATTTTGATTTATCTCAGGAAAATTTTAATCGAATAGAAAACCATTTGGCACATAATTATAAAATTCATTTGTCTAAAGATAACTCTATGTAAAAATTAACTTTTTGTAAATATTTATTATTTTATTTAATAATCGGCGAAACCATTTTGCATTGCAAGATATAATTTTTTTTTTACATCCTTTTAAAGAATATAATTTTATATGGAACTCAAAAATTGAGCAAAATCGGTTTAACAGTTCCTAATAAATCCAATTTTAAAAAAGTAATATACATGAAATTTGATTTGATGCTGCATTTAAAATTCAATTTCAAGGGTAAGTATTCAAATTTTACAGCTTTATAAAACGTTTTTGGAACGTTTTTCATATGATGTAGTTGTCGTGGTGCAAGAATATAGTGAGATAAAGTTACCATCCAAAGATTGAATTCCTTATAACAAGATTGGGTTACTTTCTATAATTCCTAAAAGATTTGACTTTGCCATGAGCAAAATATATGTTTCAGAGAACCCAGAAAGCTTTCCAATTCGTTAACTGATAGAAAATTAATTAGTAAATATCAATACAAATTAATTTAGTCAGCAAAGTATTTATATCTTTTTTACCAGTTCCTTTCATTAAGAAAATAATGAAAACAGTTAGTTAAAAAAAATAAGTATTTTTAAAAGCAAATAATAATCCATCAACTAAAAGCATAAAAAGCAGAATTACATCTTCGAAGCTTTAAATGATGGCAGAAAATGCAATTTTTAATTTTAAATGTGTAGCTTATAGGAAAGTAATGAGTTATAAATGCAATTAAAAAATTCAATTATTCAAACCTAAATATTATTTTTTGATTGTTGCATAAAAGTAATAAATTTTAATTTTTAGCATTTTTACATATTATAGAATTCTTTTGTAATGGATTTCTTTACATTTTAGAAATGGAACAAAATCCACTAAACTCAAATGATCATATTGATCATTATTACTTAAGTAAAAATAGTAAATAATTAGTATAAATGCATGAGATTATTTTTAGAATTAAATATGCATGTAATTATTTTCGAAAAAATGAACTTTATAAGCAGAAAATTTAATATTCAGTCAAATAATTCCAAAGATATAGCAAAGTATGTAAAATGTTAAATTATTATTAAAGGCTCAAAGCTTACGGCCACTCTCCTGACTATACTACTGATTAAAAAAATTGACACACATACTCAACTATACTATACTATACTATAATAGAGCTGTAATTTCTAAAAGAAATATTAGTTCCAAAAGTTGCCTATAGAGGGAAATTTGGCGCTTCGAACATAATACGAATAATAAATAAATGCATATTTGTCAACTGAAGTAGTAAATAACTTTTTATAATGATAAACAGCATTTATTGATAATTGTAAATGAATAACTATAAATGACTATAAGCTTTAGTCATAAAAGCACTTGCAATTGCAGTATAATAAAGTTTAGTGCAATACTTTTTAAAGTAACTTTTTCCTTTACTTTTTGTTAATTTGGTTACATAGAAGTATAAGTAACTCTGTGTTAAAGTTAATTTGAAATTTATGATCTGTAGATATATTTTTTATTTATTACAAAATTAACTTTCCTTTTGAACAAGGTTAAATATTTTCTGGTGAAAAATTTTCCTTCTATCGTTTTCAAACAATGTTTTACTAAATTAGAGAATATTATTGAATACTTATATATATACTTATATTTTATACTTTATTTTTTTAGTAGTTTTTATGGTACGCACGTTTAATAAGACATATTTCAGAATTTGAATAATTAGAACTTTTAAATGCAGTTGTGCTGTGCATTCAGCTTGGTTACCATTAAAGCTTATAAGTTTTACAAGATAGTTTTGAAAAATGATCAAGCTGATCGACAAGTAATTTGCAAAGCTTCTGTATTTACTAAGCAATGTTTATTTTCATTTTTGATTTTAGGTTACTTCAGAGGAACTTTAGGCTCATATGACGGCTTGATGTATACGTTGGCAGGAATGTGCACTTTGTGCACAATCTTACTTCTGATATTGCCACGAGTTATCAAACGCAAAAACAAAAGAAAGGGTCTTCAAATCAAATGAAATATTTTTGAAATACCCCTACCTTGTAAGCTTTTCTTGGAGTAAAAAGATTAAAATAATTAGCGGGGAAAACCTCTTCTGTGGGTGTTTGTTAACCGCTAGAATGAAGATAAGAGAGAGAGAGAGAGAGAGAGAGAGAGAGAGAGAGAGCTACTTACATCCGCAATCATTTGAACTAGTCATTAATTCTTCCAATATAGTATTAAACAAATTTCTTGTGTTGTGAAATTAGTGTTTTTATTAAAAAATATTTAAAAAAATTTTGTGTGCTTATTTCTATTTCGTATTTTCTTTGTTAACGTTTCTTAAAACGGGATATAGCATTGGGAATTATCTGACCATAAATGGAGAGCTAAATAAGTCAACAAAGTGCATGAACGAGTCTACTGTATTTAAATTTTGTAAGCAAAGAGGACCAAATTGGATACTTAGGGTATAAGATTGATTATTAGAAAAAACTTAATACAGTCGCCATACAGAACGTACACAGTTTGCATGGCGAACGTGTCATCATCTTCATCAATACCTGCATATAAATCATGAACTAATTTATTAAAATTACTGCATTTGACTTACCTTTTTCTGAAATATGCAAATCATTACAGATTTAATTTCAGGTTCTCAGTGTAACTGTTGCAAGCGAAATTACCTCTCAACATCCGTCGCATTCATATTATCCGTTGTCCATTATTAGATAGACACATATAATTTATAGCCATTTTATTCCATCAGTTTTTCATTTCCAACATTTTAAGTTTAGAACAGGGTCCAAAAGGCTAAATTTTGGTTCGTATACAATTTTTCTTACCTCGAGTCATAGTAGCGCATCACATTGTAATATTGTTCTTATAACAAATGGTGTACTCCCTCATAGTCGTAACAATCACAGTAATTGCTTCAAAATTACATTAACTTAACCTTAAACAGTTATACAAGACATAATATAATATAATTTATTGGTGCATCTATTACTAGCATTGAAGTTGCTTGAGTTCTTACTCCTTTATTAGGTTCAGAAATGAAATTTGCAGATGAGATAGTCATAGCTGTATATCAGATTAATTTAATAGTATATCATATTTTATACTTTTTGTACTTTTAAAAGTAAAAGATCTAAACAACTTTTGTATCGTAACTTTATTTTCGAATTATTTATTGCTTTGAGTTACATTTTCAATTAAAATAGTATATGTAAAAATAATGCCAAAAATGCTAATAGCTAAGCACCATTGATGAGCACTATTTATCAGACACTCCTATTTATTTTTAATTGGTTACTTGAAATTTGAAATACCCAATTGCCAGAAAATAATTTATCGCTGATTAGACAGAATTTTTACAAAATAGTGATGAATCTCACGGGAGTCTCCGACACTAGTCTAAATCAAAAAATATGACTAACAAAATACAACAACAAGCAATACCTAATTTTCTCAGGTAATTTTAGTGCTTTCTCGTGGTGAAAAAATATTTATAAAACAAACTCTGTGTGTATGTGTGTATTGCTTGAAAAATAACTTCACTGAAAACTAAAAAACGCAATTTATCATCCATGAAGTCTACTTTGTCCCTAATCGAAGCATATCTAATAAAAATCATCCTCATAACCACGAAAGTTTTCTTTGATGATTTGTAAGATAAACTAATTGAACCTTAGGCAAATTTCCGCATAAAACACTGCAAACGCAAAGAAAGGCAATTGAAATTAAATAATGCTGAATATCTTGTCAATACTCTATACACTTTATAACACTATTCCGATTGAGTATGTCATCGCAGCATTATAGTTTAAATTCCACCACGTAATCAATTGTAATCAAAGAAATGTACAGGTAATTTACCGTTACTGCAAGGATTATCATATTCCACAAGTAAAGCATCGATGTTCTTATAAATTTAAAATGCCTTTTATTGAAGTTATACTTCTTATGCGACTTCCAACAAGGTTGCGTTAAACGTTTAACGCTTCATTTTTATTGGCCGGGAAATCACGTGGTAGGATCCAGTTTTCCCTCATTCATTTCCATATTGTTTTGGTTCTCACTAGCATAAAAATAATAAAAGTCATAAAAGTATTGCTTTTCTATAAATATTTTTTTAGTTTGTTTTGATACACATATAATTTAATAGGGTAGTATTTTTTATTTTCAAATTTAGTGGATAACAATTGTAAAAAATGAGTGAAAACAATCCCACGGACAATGCGACGGACTTAAGGTTATGTCAAGGTACGTCTCTTGTGAATATCAATTGATTGTTTCTCTTCTGAAATTACATTATGACGCATTCACATACATTATTAATACAAACACATTTTCCAGGGCGAGACGATGAGGCAACCACAAGCACTTCCACTGGTTCAAGAGGTCCACGAGGGAAAAATGCACAATATTACCGTGATTACAGAGCACGGAAGCGAGCGGAGCAGAAAAAAGAGTCGTTGAATAGAACTAGCGATCCTTCTACGACTGCTGATTCTTCTACAAATAACGTCGCAGGTTGCGAAGTTTAACTTCTTCCGCGCGGAGGGACTCCACGCACTATTTTTTTATTTAAGCACACTTTTATATCAATTATTGTTTGATATAAAGATAAGTGTGAAATATTATCAAAATACTGTGTATATAAGTGTAAAATATTGTCAAAAGATGAGTGTAAAATATTTTCCCATTCGAAACTAACGCATTTATTCTTAGTTAATTTTTATTCTATAAGTTATTCAACATTTAAAAAAAACAGTTTTGAGCAGAAAATAATAATCAAAACCATAGCATGAAACAGTATACCCATTCCTTAAGATAATTTTTACAGCATTGGACTTTAACTTTCCAAAATCGACAGTATCACCAAAGACAAAAAGGATTAAAATAAACTTTAATAATAGATAGTAAACCAAACTAAACTCAGTGGCACGACAGCCCATAGAGGGCCAAGGCCTACTGTGCCCATCTCAGTTTTCTTGACTTAGGGCTCTGGGGTGCAGGAGCAGATGTTCCAGTTTAGGTGGTCAGCCGAACGCGGAACCCTCAGTGTTTAGTTCCCAAGCATGCTTGGTGCTCATTAATCGACCCACTGAAGGGATGAAATGCTGAGTGAACCTTGCCCGGCCCGAAGATCGAACCCAGGACCTGTGGCACGGGAGCGCGAAGCTCTACCACTCAGCCTCCGAGCGTTGATAATAGATAATAATAGACTTTAGAAAATAAGACTTCTCCCAAACATTAGCGTAAGATGTTTTAAATTATTGAGAATTGATAATTGTAAAAACTAAGCATGAAAAAATATTAACCTTTACATTTATTTCTAATTTAATGTTATTAATTTATTATTCTTAGAAAAAGCATTGTTTAATAACGGTACAGGACAAATTTCAAAAGAATTTGCAGCGAATGACACGAGGCATCTTTATGCAAAGGTTCTAAATAATGTATAGAAAAACTTTATTATTTATATAATTTTGTCTAATACTTTTTGTTTTGTTTTATATAAACCAAATTTATATAAACAATATTCTATTCTTAATCTCTATTTTTTAAAGAACAAACTGCTATTATAATTTCATATAACTCTTTTCTTACACGGAATATACAAACATAAAATATATTTATTAAATTTCCTGAATGTATTGAATATTAAAATAAATTTTTAAAAAGTGAGATTTTCTTAAATATTGTTTGATTTTAAATTGTAATTTAAGAAATGCTGTGCATCGCTTTTGCTAACTATATGGAAAAAAAAATTTAAAAAATTATAATTTTATTTATTTTACAATCATGACAAGTGGTAATATGAATTTATTTATTTGTATAAGTTAGGTAAACTAATAACCACGAATTTATACAAATATATATGCCCAATTAAACAAATTTCAGTTTATGTAACAATCAATATTTTAAAAGACAAAACCTGTCTTGGAACAAACATAATTCTAATCATAATCTCAATTTTTAAATTTAAAAAATTACAATTCTCTTAGAATCTATAGCTTAATCTTAGAAGCTATATGATAGCAAAACAGAAAATGAATTTTAAAACAATAGATAAAATTTTAAGAATGTAATTTGCGCATTTGCTTAGCATTTGCTATGACTACCTTTTAAATTTATTATATTATAAATTCAAAATATTTTTACTATCTAATGACCATGTACAAATTTCGAAAACTAAAAAATTAGCCATGAATTTAATTTGAATAAATATCTAAATCAATCAAACTTAAATCTCTTTTATTTTAATCAACTTTAAATGAAATATTGTCAATTATTTAACAATTTATAGCAATATAAGTAAGAGTTATTTTGTTTCCTTTGGAACTCCAAAAAGTTTATGCTAGTATCCTAAAATCGGATGCAAGAAGCAAGTTTAAACCCTATTCTCAAAATCCATTCATCAATCCCCAAAAAAACGAATTTTAATGTAGATATTATCCTCATTTGTAATATTATAATTCAGAAAATAAATTTTACGCATATTTTCTTGAATTAAATTTAATATTTATTCAAATTTAATTTTGTCTAAATTAAATTTTGTCTTATGCCATTCAAAAAATGATTTCAAGTTTTAAGTAAACTAAATTTATTGCCGGGAATACTATTATTTCTAAAACCATATAAGAAAATACTATTTTTGGCAAAGTTAGCACAAATAAAAGAAATTGTTGTAATCATTTTTTACCTCAAAAAAAATTTACCAGTTCCTCCAAAGCTTAACTAAAATCAACTATTATCCAACTATTGTTTTTAAATCTTTGAATTAAAATGATTTTGTAAAGACGAGTTGAATTTTTTTTCTTCAAATTTTAGTATTATCTAGTTTAATATATTTGTTGCCGTATGTAAATCCACTTTCGGATAAATCGCTGACAACCAACCAACCTATCAAATTTCTTCTTAACTTCCAGTGTGAACACACCTTGAAATTATCCCCGTACTTCATATTACTCTTTAAATATATACTTTCTAAACTGGTGACGTGGTCATGTAAGCATATTTTCAAATCATCTATTAGGGATGGGCGTGGAACTAAGATGCTATCTCTTATCTCTACACTTTTTTTATATTGTTTACCATCTGAATACCTATTTTTCGTGCGATGAGAAAGAAAATGTAAATAATCAAGAATCGGTATTAATCAACATTGCAAGCTCATACTCATAACAGAAAGACAGAACAAAATTAATTACGTTAATTCCATTCATTGTTATTTTTTTCCGGGGCTTTACGTTATTAGATTAATCAACGCATGTTTTTTGAAGCTCATCCTATCAAAATAGAGATTAACTGTATTCATTATCGATTGACATTATACTATTGCTCGGGGTCAACTTCTGATAGCCAAAAAATACCATAATCAGCAATTTTTTCTGGAATCTGTTCCTTTCTGTGAGCCTTAAAAATTCTATTTACACTGTACGTATAGCAAATATCTTGGTACCAATGTTTGTATATTTCGTACTTCTGAAAACATCAATTTAAATGATACAATCAGCATTATTACAAAATTAATAATGAGTCAAGAATAATAATAGCCAAAGTTTTATTCACACCATTGATAATTATTTAAAAGTGGTACTAAATATTACGGATATTGAATTTACAGGTGCTGCACATAGAAAAAAGGTATGGTCAAAATAGCCAGAATATGGTAAAATTTACCGAGTTTCTGGCTGTATGGAAATACCAAAAAGCTCAGTAATTTTACCGAAGAGTCTTAATAATGGTATCGCTAAAATCAACAACAAAATATTATTTTATAATATGTGATAAAATGTAGCAAACATGATAAAATTTGTTAATTTTATCATTACTCTTAACAGCATGGCACAAACTATTTATTCAGTTAAATTATCTTTTTAGTTTGTATTTTTTACTAAATGAGTGGTAATAAGAACTATGATTTTAAGAACAAAAATTTCTTGTAAACCATTACCATATGAACAGGAAAAACTACCTCATAAATGGCTTAACGTATATTTTGGTTTTATTAACCAGAATTTTGTTGAAGCTCGTTTTATTTACCAGAAATGTTATGACCATACGGTACAGTAATTTTTACTAGAATAGTTATATCCATGAGAGACAATGAGAACCAATCTTATCAATTTACGTTCGTGATTTAAATCTGATGGAATTGTTTCTTTACCTCCTCCGAAGGAAAATAAATGCCCCAAAACGGTGCTCGGAGGAAGTTTTTAAGTATACATGTCCATCGTGTCTTTAAAAGTATAAACGCCAAATTTGGCGCGGATCGGTTTAGAATTGCGGATTTATATAAGGTACTTACAAAGCATACGTATAAACCTCCTGCTGCTTTACTTACACAGATGTTTTATTTTAAAATTATAGAACTATTTTTTGCTATCGGAAAATTCAGTCTCAATTTCTGGAGCTTTTCATACAAATGCAATAATATATTTTGCTAGGGCGATAGTCATACAATTTTAAAAACAATCTTTGCAAATATTAATTTAAAATTAGAGCTGAAGAATAAAAATTAGATTAGAACTGAAAAATTTAAAATTGAAGCCGAAGTTCTATATTTTCGTAATTAAATTATTTATAATTTATTAATTTATTTAATAAACTTGTAAGCTCTACCCCTGACTCATCCCACTCTCTAATTTCATGATTGCCTCTCATTCAATTTCTTTTTTTTTCAATTCAATATTTTCCACAAAGAAGATCATTTCGTTCATAAAATGCATATTTATTATAATTTCATGTAAGAAATTTTTTATCATACATTAACCGTAACAAAATAAATGATTGTCTGGTTATGAAAAATAATCAACTAATCTTTAAAAAAAATTTAAACTTAGGAAATATAGAATATGAGACACAATATAATGTATTAATAAAAAGCATTGAATGAGAAGTAATTTTATTTTTTGCTAATACATAGCAATAACCTTATATTAATAAACTGTTTTTATCTCTTTGAGTTCTTTATAGATTTAAAAATATCTGGCAGCATCTTTCTCACTCTTTCTCTTCATTTTCTTAGATTATTATTTTTTATTTTATTCACTTATTTTTTCACATCAGCTCAAACACTATCGTATAAAATTAAAATATCGAGAGAAATATGTATGTATTTTTTACGCCAATGCATAAATAATCTCTAGTTAAAGAAGAAAAAAAAGGTGAACAAAAATATAAGCGAAAAAAATTCCTTAAAATTGCAATGATTTTTGAATAAGCTGGAATTCTAAGAAGAAGAAAAAGTTTTAAGTTAGTAATTGAAAATAATCCTTTCAGTACACAGATACTTTCTAGATGCTTTTCAGATAATACTTTCTTCATATCACTTATATTGCAGTAAAAAAGCATCAGATCGTGTCAATTTACATATTCAACGAATACCAAGTATATTTGTTCCCGCATTTTGTAAAATTCTCAAATAAATCCCATTATCAAAACTCAAAGCAACTTTTGCGCTAACTAAGGCAAACAGTGTACTCCAAAATTACTCAAACACTACACTGTTAGAATTTTCATTCGAAAATTATGGTAAAATAACTGGCAGCAGTCTGCCCATCCAATTAACCGTAAAGTTTACGGTAGAGAATATTTTTTACCTTCATGGTTTTGCAACCGGGAAACCATGAACACAAAACTATATAGTTCTCAAACCATTTACAACTAGCATGGTTTTAAAACCCGAAAAAAGACATTTAACTGGACTTGGAGATAGTTCAGCAACCTTATAGTGCTGCCATCTATGCATGAATGAGAGTATCGTACTTTAACAGACCAGAGTGACAAATTGGGGAATGCGGGGCACTAGAAACGTTTCATGCGTTAAAAGGAATGGAGGAAATATAGTAGTATCAACACTGGGACTCTAAACACTGTTCTGTCGGTCATGAGATTGACGGTTTAGCCATCTCGAGAAATTTCCAACAGTGTATATTAAAGTAATATATTTTAAGCCTTTTTACTTCGCAGTTCATATCCGATTCAGCGTTGCATCCTCTTTTAGAAAATACACTAAAAAACTCCCTCTTTCAAAGAAGAACTGGCGTTTTTCAGCATTGTCACATTTTTCTGAACGTACATTTTTGAAACGTCTCTGGTCTGATTGCTGTGCAGAGAAATGTTCGGTAACGGCGCATTTACATTAAACCAGGTCCTTTCACAACACTGTATTGGTTAGCACCCAGCGTGTCTAAATTTTTCTGTAATTCAAGACTCATATAATCTGTCTTTATGTTAGATCTAATATTTAACCTATAAATAGAACTAATGATTAATACTTTTTCGATGACCATATACTACTTAAGACGGTGAAAATTTGATTGATAATATATCAGCATCAGTTTTTACTTCCAGATTCTACTGTGTCATATTCTGCTATTATGCCACCGAACAGTACTGAAACAGTTTGAGATTATTTCTTTCATTATTACCTCGAAAATGATATTTGATGTCTTTGCGACGAGTTAATTCTCTATTTTGATTCAATTTGTTTGAAACCGCAAACAGTCCAATTTTACTTTAACGTCCATCTTTATTGTTTCTGTATTTGGCATCTACAAATCGTGGTAGTAAGGAAACTCCAATGCAACAGATCAAACATAGTAATGACATCATATATAGATATCCATCGTAAGAACCTAGTTGGCCTCTGAAATAACCTACATAAAGAAAGTTTTATGTTAGGATAGTGTCGGAAATTAAATCAACATCACTTATAATTTTTAAAAAATTAAAAAAAATTATAAATGAATAAATTAGAAATTTTTTGAATTAACTTTGGGCCCACTACAATCAACAGGTTCTGTCATAACTCGAAGGATTTACAGTTCAAATGTCAAACCATTTCCCACACTGTCCAAAAGCTATAATTTGAGAAATAGTAAAAATACTTAGAACTATTGATATTAATTTTTTCACAAGAAAAGAAACTTTCTTACAAAATGCGCCATCACAAATGGACTAACTTTAACAGTATTAATCTAATATCTTAGTTAATATTAAAATTCCGTACCTAGTTCACTGGTTAAAAACCACCTTGAAACTATAGTAATGCCGGTTTTGATGTCATAACGACATTAAATTAATTGTTTTTGAAATTTGCTTTAGTACATTGTATCAAGTTTAAGTATTGAGACTTTATGCATGTTTCTAAATAGATGTTGCAAATTTCTTATGTAATAAAATAGATTAAGAACGAATTTAAATAGCACAAACAAACATTATTCGACAATAAGTACAGTCCAGCTAACACGAGAACTACCCCAACAGAAAGTCTTTTGTTGTCTGCTGCTGCAGAAATCAGAGTAAAATCATATTTGATGGCCGGGGGGGGGATTTAAAAAAAACTTATCCCAACTTAAAACAAGTCGAAAACCTGTAAAAAACTTCAAATTTCATGAGCTTCAAAAAATATACAAAATTGAAATGACAGTCGACATGCTTCAAGTGCCTTAAAAATATTTGACAGATGTGAATGTAACAAAAGAAAAATAATTTGAAGAAAAAAAAAACACTAAGTTGCCAAGCGAAAAATGAAGAAATAAAGGTAAGAAATAAAGACTAGGAAAACCACAGAAGACAAGAGAGAAAACATATGCAAAACAGAACAAGAAAAAAAAAGGTTATTTAATTAAATTTTAATTATTTAATTACATTTTTTTAATTTATTTAAATGAGAAGCAGTTAATCACAAACCCTTATTTGAAGTAACTAATCTTCATAACTACTGTATCTAACTGCACCCGAGTCTGTTATCTAAGTAGTTCTCGTGTTTACCGAATTGCAAGATACATAAAAATTTACCTATTAAAGGAGATATTGTAAAACTCATGGGTATATATATGATTAGTCTTGATGCCATAGCCATAGTCCTCTTTTCTTTTTCAATGAATTCTGTCACTATCATTGGCACTGTGGCAGTGTTTGCCCCAAACACTAAGCCTAGCATGCAGAACACAATCATCATTAAACTGAAGCTTGAGATCCATGGAATCAGAAGACAAGACAAACACATTACGAAAAAACAACATGCACAAAGGCTTGTAACAGACAGGAAACCACAATCAATTAATGAGCCCAAAAAGAAGCGACCGAACACATCGAACAAATTCATACCCATCGCAAAATATATTTCCAAATAGCCTTTTATTCCTTTATCTCTAACGATATCAATCAAAACAGTCCAAAACACATAATTCACATAAGCATTCGAGCTATTGATAATAGTCACGCATAAAAAAATTGGGTGCCAGATCACATCAATCGAACTCAGATAAGATTTAGCAGTTTTTTTTACAATTGTTTTATCGGTCATTTCATTATTTTGCCTGGTACTTGGTTGAGCAAACTGCTCATTTAAATCACGAGCATTAAGTACTACTGATGATTTTTGTAGCTGGTCATTTTCACACCTCGATATACTGGCGGTATTTGAAATTGTCGATTTAGAGAATGACGTAATTGACCCAGAGGAGTCGGAATATTTTTCAAAAGTTAACTCGGTGTTATTTTGTGCGTCTTTGTTTTCATTGCAAGGCGCATCAATTTTATGAGACGCCATTTTAGTTTGACTATTATGTTCATCTGGTATTTCAAGAGTTGAACTGTCTCCATTAGGTTCATCTTTTGTTAAAAATGCTCCATCACAATTTAAATTATTTAGACAGATTGTAGTAATAACAGCCTCGGTTTTGTTTTCCTCCTGAGAATTAGCAATTTTATTTTTTCGAAACTCTGGTTTCCTTAAAAGTAATGCAGCTGCCACACTGTTGAAAACGATTCCACTCATTATAAGGTATGTACCAGACATGCTGTACTTTTTTATGATCACTTCCAATACAGGAGGTCCAATGAAAGCACCCAGACCACTTCCTGCCATAAACACGCCATATGCTTTAGTTCTGTGCTTTTCGAAATGTTGATTGAGTATTTCCGGAATCAAAGCTGTTGACCAACCAAAGCCAATTCCTAAAAGAAAACATTTTTATTATTTTACTATTATTAGAACTCTTTTAAGCTATGTGAACTCAATTAAAGTGATTTTTAGGACACGTCTCTCCATTACAATTTCCAGTTTTAATAAAAATAAGGACACTGGTGTCTAGATCTACGGAGAAGGAGGATTCAGGGTGCCATTTATATTGGTGATGATGGTGGAATATTAAGGTGTGGGTGGAGTTCGTATTGGTATAGTGGGCCAGTTGAAAATAGTAATGAAAACAGAAGGGTGATGAAAATAATACTTGAACTGGATCAGAATTAATAAAAAGCTTTTATTTTATATTTGTAGAGCTCGAGATACCGAATATACATATTATCCATACGAATTTCAGTTGAATCAATTTTGCATAATAATATTTTTAAGGACAGGCCATGGGAGATAAATCCCCCACAACCTGCCTAATCAAAAGCCAAATTAAAAAGTACGTGTAATTTGTTCCCAACGGACACAGAAGCATGGGTAGGAGATCCAAAATTGGCGAATTATCAAAATATAGCATAGCCAAAACAAAGCCAACCAGCATATAATATTGGGTTCAAAAGAATACCTTGGCGATCACGAGTCGCCAACAAATTTATGAGAATCATTACAACCATGCAACTGAAACATATTTTCGGTTAAAAATTTAGAATAGAAAGTTATTAATAGACTTTTGTTTTCGATTAGAGGCGACATTGAATTAATAAGTCTGCATTAGTAATGAAATAAAAAGCATCCGTTACATTGATATCTATAAGAGAAGAATAAATATTTTATATTCGTCTAAAAAGATTAAGTCTTTGATTTATTTTTAAATGTAATTCTATTAATAAAAATTAGCTTAAGTAATCAAAGATATTTAAAAGGATAGGAAATAAATATGTTATGCCAATTGTGGCATCACAAGATCTATCAAGTTGTTCCTTGATATTATAATTCCTGATTTAGTGTAACTTAGAACACAGGTACCAAGATCTACCAAGTTTTCCTCAAAAATTTTAGTTAAGAAATTGCCTTAATAAGAAATCGAAGTGAGCAAAAGCAATCAATTATAGGAAAAGGAATTTTTCATTTTAAAACTGGTGTAACTTCATACTAACTAGTGTTTGCGTAGTGAGTAAAGACTTTATACATGACTTGTGTCATAAGTACATGTTTATTTAAAAAAATGTAGCTTAATTTTATTTGCTCGTGCACAATGATATTGCAAATGCACAATTTATATTCCAATGATATTAACATAGATAAAAATTGCTACTGCAATTTTTATCTCCATCGTATGAAACTTTATTGAACTTTATTTTGAAATTTTGGCTGTTTCAAAGTTATTTTCAAAGCATTTATATTTTGTAATTTTGGCTGCTATGGAAATTGGAAATGATGAGAAATAGAGGGATCTAACAAACTTTAGAATAACAAGGAAGAAGATTTCAATTAATAAGCAGTTGAATTTCTAGGCTAGCATTTTCTCGATTTTTAAGGGGCCTAAATTGATACAATAATTCTATTTAAGCAGTTTAGTAGTGATTAATTTATAAAGAAGGTTCGTTGTTTTACTGGAGGAAAAACTGTACTATGTAACATCTCGGTAAGATCTTCATTTATAAAATAGAAAAATACCTGCGATTACTCCCAAAAATACGTCAATAGTTTGAATGTTTTCTGCAAAGAAACATGCTCCAATTCCTATCGTAGAAAACAAACAGCCACACAAAGTCACTCCTTGTAATCCAAGTATTCCACTGAAGAACCCAGCAAAAGGACCTGAAATTCGATCAAAACAAAAACGATAAAATTGATAAATCCTGTGTTATGAACAAAAATATCAAAAAAAATGCTTTATTTTTTTTCTCTTCATAGCATAAGTTGAAAACTTGAGTCTTTTTAAAGATAGAGCGTATATTATAAAGAAAGCTTAAACTAAACAAGTTTTCAAGTGGGTGTCGAAACTAAATTCCTTAACTAATAAATTCTTTAATATGACGAATTAAGAATCCACCAATTAGCTTCATTAATTGATATAATAATCTTCCACAACAGAATTAAGGTCACATGATAATTGATTAGCAGAGAGTACATTTTATTTATCTGAAGACTGAAGCAAAAAAAACGCAAACACATAACCGAAACTACGGAGCATAAAATCACTGGTGATTCCAGATAGAGATATTGTCTCAACAGAACATTGAGATTTTGCCTCAACAGAACATTGAGATTTTGTCTCAAACGTGTAACGGGAAATCAATATATATCTCAAAAAATATATTACAAATGTATATTTTTGCTTGCAATATCTTAGTACCAAAAGTAATAATAAATACCTATAAATAATGTTTTTTATATCCATAAAAGAGTCTTAGTAAAATTATTATTTCTGATTATGCCTCCACCTTGAAATCTCCCAACAGAGTATTATATTTTTACAAGAAATTCTTCAATTTAAAACCTAACACATAAAAGAAGATGATCTGTTCTTTTAAGTCCACTATACTCAACTTGATTGGTATTAATTCAAAAAACCTCGTCTATGTCGAAATTTCAAGAGATCTCAATCTCTTACTGAAAATAATAAAGTTTGAGACCTAAGTAGAAAACTAAAACCTAAAGTCTAAATTTTAATAGTGAAAAAAACGGGGATATTAGATGTCTCGTAGACTTTTTTGAACATCAATATTATTCTTAAATACTTGGATTCAATAGGTTTTTTAAAAATTTGGTACATACTAATCGCCAATTCCATTAAAATGAAAGCGACAACATTTTACATTAAACTCATTTGACACATTTCTTGCATTTTTCAATATACTTGCTAATGACGTACACTATCATTCATGTGAAAAATATGCCCCAAAATAATTTAAAAATTCATAGCATTTTGTTAAAATCATGATTAGTTTACTGCCAACATAATTCCAAAATGCATAGTGATGCATATAGAGAGCAGTTTCTGTATTATTTTTCACTTTCTCGAAATGAAAACCTTATTTGCTTCATCTATGCAAATAATATTTGTTTATAATTTTGACCACAATTATTTTTTTAATATAATAAATCATCTTGCCGTTCTTATTATTAATTTAAGAAAAAAAATTATGTAAATGTAAAAGTGCGCTGTATGATTCAACATAATAACAGCAGCATTGTTAGTTTCATTTGTGACAAAGCACGGTCGAATATCAAAAATAAATATCCAAAAGTAGTAAGCGGCAAAACACTTTTGATTTTGGCGTGCTAGCAGTGATAAATATTTAACTAAGGTGTAGGACAATGTCTAAACAAATAAAAAATTCAACATCTGTTCAAGGACGCGTTTACTTACCTATAAAGAATGAAAAGCAGTCAAGAATGTAAGTTTTAAACAAAGGCAAACACCTTGGTTATATTTAACCATTAATGCATAATGTTATATTTCATATTTTTCAGCCTGGAGAAAAGTATCCTTGTGATTAAAAAAAAGGTTGTTGTACATGAAATGGATGTTTCTTCTGTTATTCTCCTCTTCAGATTAAACCAAAACTACCAAGATTTTACATCACGCCATTTGAATCAAATGGAAATTTTGTATTTTTAATATTCATGCAGCGTTATCCTAAATTATTCAACCAGTCTCAAAGGACTTTTTATTTATAAGTATACGGCGCAAAAAGACGAATAATATATGGGGAGTTACATGCGCTCATCAAGTTTCAGGCTCATACTACAGTATGTCCCAAATTAAGCGCGACCTCTGATAAACAGGGAAATAGCACTATCGATGGGAGAATAATTGCTTGTGCAATATTTATGTGCTCATATAGATGCTGATGAGTTCGCTAGAATAGAGTCTGTGTCCATACACCTGAGTCGGCCTGATTTCCAATGGAGTCCAGACTTTTTACCTCCAGACTATTTTATACAGAGATATTTTTAAAGAAAAGATGGCTACGCAGATTGCTTAACACTTAACCCCGAATTAAAATTAAAAATTGAAAAATAAGATCAAATATGCTTCCCACAAACGTTGATTCATATTTTCGATAACCATGTTAAGCGTGCTTATTTTGTCAATTGACAGATTACAAGAATTCAACATTTCTTGTAATTTGGGTTCAATAAGCATTCCTTTTTTCCTTTATTTATTTGCTTTTCTGGGAAGTGATATATTTGAGACATACTGTGCAAATGTACAATACGTGCTTCAATAAACTTGAACATAACTTGTAAAGGATTATTGTGCACCCCCAATGCTAAATTGTTAAGTACAAAGTTTTTGTATTCCAATGTTAACAACACAACAGGAATAAATCACATATGATATGAAGTCATTGATAGAAACATGCTATAAAACATATGGACGGAAGTGGATTCGCTTTGGAAAGTGTGCCGATGACGAAGCGTGCACACATTGTATATTTGTAGTCTGTGTACCGGAAACTTGATAAATGTAGCACACACACACACACACACATCAACACCTAACCCGGCGTCTATGCCCCAAATGAGGCATTTATCGGTTAATGGTTAAGGTTGGAAGACAAGGCAGCAAAAAACATATAGATTTCGTTAGTTGGAGTATTATGGTGAGAAAGTTTCCTGGGCTAATTGGTCAAATTTAGTTGCCATTGCGGCAGACCATTGCATAATTTTGTCTTCTTTTTATTTTAATCACTTCAGGATATCCTCATGATCTTCTGGAAAAATAAGGAGTTCGATTACCTTCTGTTTTAACTTAAATTTCTTGAAAATGGATCTCTTTCCGGCTATGATAAATTCTAGCTTTAGTTGTTTAAAGTGGTAGGGGTGGAAAGCGGGCATTGTACTGCATAGTACTACTCTGTGTCCACTAATCGACATACACATGTGAAGTTAGTTGCTATGCAGATGCATTTTAGGTATGCTTTAAAGAGGTCATGTTTTTTGCATACCGTATTCCTGTAAATAAACAGTCCTGTGAAACTAGATCAATTGATTAGAATAACTATGTATTTCCATTGATACGAATTTCGTATTTTTTCAAAAGCAAATGCTAAAAATAAAATTGCCGATCGAAATGGGCTACAGGTGGCGCAGAGCAGAACTCTCTACCTACTCATGCTTCCACCATTAGAGGTGGAGAGTCATAGACGAAGGAAGTACACTAGTTTCTGTCTTGATTTTCATATACGTAGATTAAAATCTTTTAAGTTGGGAAACTATGTGGAACAGAAAAACATTAAACATAGTTCTAAAAGAAAGCATCATGGAAACTTTAAAAAATATTTTTATTAAATCAAAATGAAAAATATTGAGAGAAGGAAAAAATATCGTAGTACATTCCTATACAACTGAAAAGGGGAGGAGAGGGAAGGTAGAAGGGCCAAAGGCATGGAACCGGTCTTCTCCCCAGATGGTGTATCGAGCGTTGCGATCGCTTATGGCTTTGATCCCATTTTTTAGTTTTGTGAAAAATAAGCTTATCAAATATTCAAGGTTTTTTACCATTTTCTCTTTTGGTACTTGCTATTTTTACAACTTTAGCACTTATTACTTAATTCAGTAATCACCTGATACACTTCTCATAAGGGATGCTAAAGCAAATGGAAAAGCTGCGGCTTCTCTCGTAGTATGGTATTGATGTAACATTGATACAAAAAGTTGAGCACCCAATCTAACAGGACATGACACTAACAAAAATATTACAGAACCAGCCACTGCAACTATCCAACTATAATAACTATCCACTGGGCTTCTCTCCATTTATAAATGATTAGTACCAAAGCTGTAAAGATATTACACAAAGTTATAATGAAAATGATTTTATAATAAAATATGTGATAAAATAAAGTAAAATATGTGATTTTTTTAAATTCGAATTTCTACTAAACCAAAAGTTTTTCAAAGCTAAATTCTTTAAAAACCAAAATTAGAATTATTTCATAGAATCAAAATAAATAATATTTGTTAGTTTGGGTTTCAAACAACTTCATAAAAAGAACTTACATATTTGAATTCGAAAATGGATATTTAACCCCAAATTTTTTAGCTTTAGCTTCAAATGACAAACCTCTTCTTCATAAATTTATAAACTTCAGTCTGTTTTTAAAATTTATCTTAGATGAATTTCAATCATTTAAATCAAAATATCTTTTTTATTGCTTAAAAAAATAAACCTTTTTAAATTAAATAAATAATAATAGAAAGAATAACGCCATATTTTAGTAAGTGTTTTATTCTGCTTTTATTTATGCTTCTACTTACACCATTATCAGTTATATAAGTAGTTAAAACGCATATTTTAGAGTGATATTTATATGTCAAGTAGTTAAGACATATATTATTTTTGAATTATTACTGCATGCAAAGGCTTACATGAACTTTCAAGAAAAGTTAATATTTTATCAAATTTCTGATTTTCTTTTTGGCACTTTAATAAAAACGCTTTACTCACAAGTAATTTATAATTTCTTATTAATTTAATCTTAATTAGCAAATTAATCCTTTATTTAGTAATGCATAAAATTTATTCACTTTAAATTATAACTGCAGAAAAATACAGTTTAAAGACTGTGGTTATATGGCCGATTCCACAACAGAATTTTTGAGATCAATACAACTGCAATATTTATTGCAGAATTTTTGAGGTTAATATAACTGCATAATTACTATAAAATATTTGAGGTTTGTTATACTACAAAATTACTGCAGTTTACAAACTGCAGTAAATTAGCAGTTCTTCGACCTCAAAAATTCTGTAGCGAATTGGCCGAATCATCGAAGTTTTAAAACTATATCTTTTTTCTTCTTTTCTTTTCGAATTTTCTGCAATTATTATGCGGGGTAATTCTGGTTTAGATGTCAATATGACAAACCGCTGCGAATACGGGTGTTCAAAAAAGGGCCAATGATTCGAAAAATCAACCATAAAACGGAAAGAGATAAAACTGTTCAATTCCCATCTAAAAATAAACTGCAGTTTTTCTACAGAACTGAAGTAATTTTGTAGTTTTTCTAGAGTCAACTGCTGATTTGCTTTAGTGCAATCTTAACTGTCAAAAAAATTTTAAACATATATATATTGATAACAGAAATAACGTACACTGTCTATATTCATAAAAGTTAAAACTCATAAAATACATACTTGATTTATTTATAATTCAGATGTGTAAAAAACGTTTAAGTAAGATTTTGACACAATTTAATTAGTTTAAAATATGGCTAAAATTAGGTATTTAAGTATTTCTGTATTTTAGTAATTTTATTACCAATTTTATTTTTATTAATTTTTATTATTTATTTATTTTTGGCTAAAGAAAACTGCTTTTGCACAAGGTTTATGGTAAAAACAATATTGAAGTAAAGATAAGTAGTTAACATCAATTAGTTAATTTTTTTATTCGAATTCATACTAAGCTAGGATTACTGTAGAACAAAAGTTATGCTTATGTTGTCGATCAAAACAAATATTTAGTTTGGATTTTAAACAAATTTATATCAAAAGAGTTTACAGAATAGAATTTGAAAATGGATATTTAATCCAGATTTTTTAGCTTCAAACCTCTCCTTCAAAAATTTATTAATTTCACTCTGTTTCAGAAAATTGTCTTAAATAAATTTAGATAATTTAAAACAATTTACCTCTTTTATTGCTTGAAAATAAAGCTTTATAAAGTAAACAAATAATTTTGTAGGAAAAAAAATCATCTGATCAATAGACAAGTTAAAAATATTTTTTATCAAAAACTTTTTCTACAAAAAGTATTTTTTCTTAACAAAAACTATAGTATTTTCCATGGCTCACGATAGGTGGCACCACTAAATACGGATATTTTGTATATTAACAGTAAAAATTTTGAAGCTGGTACTACTACAAAATTACTGCAGTTTACAAAATTCAGTAATTTTGCAATGTTTCCACTTCAAAAATTCTGTATCGGAATTGGCCAAATCACCACAACGTACCTAAGTTTACACAGGAAATCAAACTGATTTGGGTATTTTCATCTCTGCATTTTTCACCGTCAGTAATTTGCTACGTTTGGATAGCGATTTTATTTTTTATTCGAGTAAATATAAATGTGCAATCGTTAAAGTGCATACTTTTTATTTTATTTTAATTTCACTGTTTTATGTTTCCTTTTTTCTTTTTTTTGTTTCACCTTTACACTTTTTATGTTTTTTTTTCTTAAGTTCTTATCAGCATATAGTACAAGCTCTGATACGTTTTATAAAAATTTTATTGCGTAAAATTACTTACAAAAAAAATACATGTTTTTACAAAAAAGTAAATGAAATATATATTTTGCTAAATTTTTCTAAAAGAATTCATTATCACACTCCTTTACATTATGTCTATAATACCTATTTATTCCAGCATTTATGATAAAACGTGTAGATGAATAAATATAGATTTATAAATTAGAGGTTCGCAAAAAAATGCTAAGGTAATGTAGTTAAAACGTTTATTCAATAAACTTTTTTTTTTAAAAAATAACAGCAATAATTTTAAAAATTTTTGAGTTTTAATCCAAATTTAACGAAAAGACAACATTTTTACACACTTTTCCAAACAAGTTGATGTTATAGGTAAAACAACTCACAAGGATATTTAATTATATATTAACTTACTTTAATATTAACTGAAATATAACTATTTATTTAGGAAACAACACAAAGTAAAAATTATAATAATTCCAGCTGTACAATTTTTTATAATGTGCAATGAATATCTTTATTCTATCACATTTGAGTTTTCTTGAAAACGAATGACCTAACTTGTCAATTTTCGAAGCACCGCTAAATTAAATATGTAGTTGAATTCCAAGCGTAACAGAGGAGAAATCACACTTATTTTATTCTAAAGAATATATTACATATTTTTAAAAATAAAAATTCTACTAGAATATGCTACTTTAGGGTGCAATGTTTAATTAGATGGCATAAAATATTAAAATAGCCTCATAATTAAATTGCAAGTTAATTAAAAGTACTTGTAACAGAGAGGACAAATAAAATCCCTCACTTTTGACATGCACTGCTATTTATGCTAAATTCTGTGATTTGGACCATCCTAAAGATGATCTGTAATTTTTTTTTTTAATTATCACATTTCAAGGAAAAATAAATTATAAAACTTTTAAAATTCCAACTTTCTTTTATTTTAAGTTCAAATAATGCATCGTAACAGAGAGGACATGGAATGTAACAGTGTGATCTTACTAATTTGACAAGAAGTTAAAAGGAAATATCACTGTTAAAAGTGTCTCTTCGGTTATTTAAAGTTGGAGTTGGCAACACTGCCATAATTGAAACTCGTGCTATATCTTTGTAGTTATATTTTAAAGTTTTTATTTTACCAGACCCTGTTTAAAAAATTGCATTGTTTGTTTCTTTCTCAATTTCAGTTATTTGGGCAATAAAATCAACTACCCAATTTTTTCCTCGAACTTTTTACACTTGCAAAACTATCTATGGCAACATCAAAAGAATCCCAGTGTCTTTAATGGTGATTGGTGCACATTAAATATGCCGGGTCACAAAGTCCTCCAAGTTCTCCAAACAAATCAATACCTCTGGTGGTACTGATCGAGGAGTTCCCTTGTCTTTTGGATTAGGTTTAAAATTACAAGGCTTCGGAGTTGAACATTGGTAGCCGTAAACTCAAATTTGGGTTAGCCGTTCAAAGACGGTTATAAAATTAAAAAAAAAAACAATTGAGCAATTGTCGCTATATTTAGTAATTCTTCGTAATTATTAGGCAAACAACTGATTTTAATAGAAAATTCACATTTTCGTGAATAGCTCATACACATTTTATATGGTGTTTTACCTACACATAAAATATGGATAGGTGCAGCAAACTTAGATTTGCCAATTTTTTGTTTGGAAGCATCTACTTTGATATTTGATATGCTTCCATCAAGGTGCATATTCGGCTTTGTGGACTTTCTGTCCATTTTCTTTGACAATCATGCACTCAGCTCTACCAAAAATCTGGTAAGAAAGTTTATCAGATGAGTAGAAATTTATTACAAGTTTTTTTTGTTTTTGTTTCATCACAAACTTTGTTCCTAGGCTATTTCTTTTGTTTTGGTAGTAAGGTTACAAAGTATGCGTAGAACAATACAACGTTTTCTTAGAGATACAAAGTAATGCACGGTTTGCTTTTTTAATTGCTTTCCCCAATATCTAAGGAATATTATAAAGAGAATATCCTTCCTGAATTTCTACTGCTTGTATCAGTGCCTTTTTATTTTTCCTTTGCCTTCTTTCTTTTCTCAATTTATCTATTAGGTTTTAAATTAAGTTTTTTTTTTTTCAAAATACTTCTGTTATCATAAATTTTCATTTTATATTCTTTATCTTTCTTCTTACAAATATCTCCTTTTTTTTTTTTTTTTTTTGGAAAATTCTACTTCGATATTCTTTCATTCTTGCTGCTGCTGCTTTCCCCTATATTGATTACTCACTTAAAAAACTTTTAACTGTAAACTAAACACACTATCAAATAAAAATGGCACAGCTTTGTATAAAAAGTGGGCTCTAACAGTGGAGGAACTGGTTTAAACTAGTTGCATCAAGATTCATAACCACTTGCTTAAATTCCTAGAGTTCCACCTATCAAGTTTGTGTAACTGAGGGGACATTTAGTTTTGTCCTCTCTGTTACACCCCCTCTGTTATATGAGAAACTTTAAAATTTTTAATTTATTTTAAAAATATAATATAGCATGATTGTAAAAACCAAGTATTAATTAAAAAAGTTTTTTGTGTAATGAATAAAATAAACTTAAAAGAATAATTGTAACAGAGGGGACAATATATATTTGAGATAATTTTTGACTTAAAAAATAAGAAAAAAAAATTTTTTTTGGAAGGTAATCACTGCATAATTAAACTTGGGAACAATTTATTTTTCAATATAAATCTAACTATTTGTAAAATCGTAATATTTTTAATAACTTATTTTTCTTTAAAATAGACAGTTTTTTGGTAGAATAAGTCAAAACCATGAATGCTCTCTATTTATGATAAATTTTACTATAATCATGCGTAACTCAAAAAAATAACTTTTGAATTCATAAATTACCACAAATTTCCTTTGAAATGATACCAATTACAAGGATATTGCTTAAACTTTAAAAATTCACTGCTAGTTTCAATTGGCATGGAATTCAACTGTAAGAAATAGATATTTATAAAAGCTAAAAAAAAAAAAAAAAAACNACAAAAAAAAAAAAAAAAAATACATACCTGCAAGTGTCTTACGTCAAGATTGCCAAGAAAATCTTCAGAAGTAGAAAGGGAAACTCTTGCTTTTCGTAACAACGGAATATGTTTTTTATCAGAATAGATATAAATTATTCAACCTACTTCAGAGAAAGTGACATTGCATATTTATTTGCTGCTTGTATTCAAAACAAAATGTGCAAGCACAAAATGAAAACAAATTTCTTTTATGTCTCGAAACGTGCTGTAAAAGTTTTAATAAAAAAGATGGGAAATGAAAGGAAACGAAACGAAACAAAAAAAAACCTTAATGTTTTAGTAAAAAACCAATAAATAAATTGGAAAATATTAACAGCATAAAAACTAAATGCTATATTCTTAAGAATCATTAAAATTCACTCATAATAAAAAGTAATTTCGAGTTGAAACACATATCAAACGTAAATCATTTGTTGAAGAAATTCATATACACTTAACTGATGTAGGCGCATTTTGAGTTACATAAGATAATTTGCTGTTGTGTGAATGATTTGATGTCTGATGTTATGATTGATTATATGATTTGTTTTCATTTGATGTTAATGGTTGGGAAAGCAACTCTGCATCATATTTTCTAAGGGAAATAGATAAAAGAGATCTAGTGTTCTGTTGGCGTTTAGTTACTACAACATAAAGTTTTATACATTGTCGAAAAAGTTTAATTCTATTATTTTATTTATTAAATTTTAAACTTTGCTCTTTATTTTGAATTATACGTAAATATTTTTAATGTTTTTTTTTTTTTTTTTTTTAAGCTGTTTTTGTCCAACCAAGCCCCATGACAGGAGGTTTATAACTCAAAAAGCTTTCTGAAATTTTTATTAAACTACTATAAATAATGCGTCGGAATGGTATGTTTCACAATAATTTTTTTTCAAATAACAAAAATAAAAAGTATGAAATAATAAACATATTTTTTGAATGTATGAAAACAATTTTAATAATATCGTTGGGACAGTGGCGTACGCAGAATTTTTTCAAGGGGGGTGTTCATAATTTTCTGAAGCTACTAAAAGAAATTCGAGTATGTAATAAAGCACTATTATTTCCCTAATTTAGACAGCTAGAGAGTTTTGACTTTTTATTTAGACAACATTGTTTAGTTAAATTTTGATTTGATTTTTTTAAGTTTAAGGACATAATGTAATATCTTCTCGCATGTAATATCTTCTGAAAAAAGTCCAATGTCATATGGGTGGGAAGTAACACTTTGAGGGCCACTTTCACATTCATCAGATTTCGTTATGCTAGAAACGTTTTTTTCAACGGAAGTATCACATTTCTGTACAACAGAAAAACTTACAATGTACTCCGTTCCCCCTAAGATTCCAGAATCATCGCGTAAAGACCTCGCGAATGACAGCCAGTCTCGAAAACTATCGAGACTGGCAGAATAGAAAGGAACCAGTCCATTACAGTATCACGTGAATTTGGTTTCAAAAGTACAACCCTATTATAGTAAATGTTTTTTTCAGTATTCTGAGAAATACCGTGAGATAAAAAGGTAGGCATAAGGCAAATAAAAATGTATAGTCTTAAAAAATAATACCCGCATAATTTCTACTAAAATGTTTATTTTTGCCATTTTGTCTGAGCTCAAGGGGGGTGTTCAAACCCCTAAACCCCTCCCTTGCGTTACGCCACTGAGTTGGGAGAAAGTGTTTTAAAATTACACGCAAACAACATTTTCATTCGTGCTATGAATTACAAACCTATGGCGTAAAAGGCAGTATGTAACAAGAGATGTTAAGAAGTCTGGAGTTTTGACCGCTTTCATTCTTTTCAAATTGCGGCTTCACTCAGATGTTGAGAGTTTAGTTTCCAAACCGAGTAAAGAAAAATAATTAAACTAATAAAGGTTATTGTCATACAAAAAAGTATGCTTTTGTATCTGACTTCTGAGAAAGAGCTATTTGCTTAATATATCATGGCTATAAAAGGAATAATCTCAAAACTCTAGAGTGGAATAATATGGAATTAACTACATTAGCTTCAAAAATTATTAAGGTAGAGAAATATAAAATGTTTCGAGAGCTTGAAACCAAGACGCCTATTCTCAAAACTCAACATAAGTGAATGAAGGAAAAAATACAGATTTGAAAGGAAAAAAAACACACACACAAGCAAATCAGGGCAGGTTGCATTTCCAAGCGGTATGCAGGGTTTGAGGAACTCATGTTGTTAACTAGAGAACCGACACTTGGAAACAAGATTACAGACCATCAAGATGGGCTAATAGGCCAGAGGTAGAAAGAATTTTGGAGTTATCGAAGTTAAGTTTATAACCAAGTTCCGACGATGAGTGGCAATTAATTATTTAACGAGTTTTTTACTAGGCTAGGGATCCCTTAATCTCGATTTTAATGCATGGCTGGTCTATCCCATGTAGAGGTTACATTGGCGAGGTATTGGTAATGCAATAGTGATTATCAATGCTGATAAGATTTTTAAGAGACTAAAATTTATTTAATTAACAGGCCTGAAAACGACATTAAAATTAAAACGGAGTGGGTAAATAGTAATTTTGTAGCAAACTGAAGAGAAAAAAAGCATAGTATTAAGCTCACAGTATGATATAGACTGTTGGATTTAGTAAGTTTATCAAGATTTGAATTAACTACTGTAGGGTTAAATCCGTGGCTAGCAGCAAGCGAGTTGAGGAAGCTTAATTTTTAGGCAATTGGGGTGATTAGAAGAAATATTAGAATGGAGAGGAATAGTTTACAATAAACAGAAGTTGAAAAGTTATCAGGCGTTTAGTTACTACAACATAAAAAAGCATAGGAAAATTAATTTACACGTCAAAAGTAAATTGAATGTTGGGTCAACAAAGTTGTCAATACTTGAAGATCAGTAAAACTGGCTACTAAGACAAACGACAATCTTTTCATAAACAAATCTTTTCTACCATGAGAAACGAAAAAGAGTAGTGAAATTCCTGTCATCATTTACCAATCACAACCAATCGCTCTGGAAATAAGAACACTAGTGAAAAAAAAGAACATGAGAATTTTTAACAATATAGATCTTTTTAGAAGTCAGAGATAAAAATAAGGAGTTATTGAGAAAGCTTTCAGCTTAGGGAATCAATATTAGATATAAAAGTTAGTTTAGGTTTGTGAACTTTAGAAAGGCACAATTTGGAATATAAGGCTGTACATGTACAAGAAGATTTTTTAATTTATTCTTAATAACAGTAGAATGAGAAGGGATTAGAATCAGATTTTTAAATTGTGTTTAACAACATAATTATAGTAATCAGGCATTAATTGCTTGAGTGGTGTTAATTAGGCAACGACTTGTTAAGAACAGAAGTTCAAATATGAAGTCTCCCTACCTTCTTCTGCTGCGGCATTGAAAATATCAAAGGAGAATCAAGTTCCTTAAAAGCTTGTTTTGAGAATACGAGAGACTAGATTTACTTAAGATTTTATGAAAAGAAATGGTGCTGAAAATTGAATTTCGAACAGTATCAATATGATCAGAAGAAAATCCATTCCGCTTAAACGCTAATTCTAAAGGGACAATAATAATGGGTTGCCAAATATTTGTTAGTAACACCAAAATTAAACCTACAATCTTAACCTCAAATTTAAACCTCTTCTTATGCGTTACTAAGATTAATAGAAGATAGATATACAAGAGAGTTGTATTAATGATTTGACATTTGGATAATATTCATTATATTAGGAAACAATTTTCTTTCCTGTTGCATGAGATTTTTCAACAGATCTTAGATACTTTGGTGTGGCTGATTTCAAATCTGCATTTGGATTCTCTCTTCATGTTAGTTTTTTAAATGACATTTTTAGTCTAATTTTTCTCAAAAAGTGCATGTTTAAAAACATTATATATAACAGGACGTCACATAAATATGCGACAAACTTCTAAAGGAGTTAGCATCATCACCATAAAAACTGCAATGGAACACATGCCCGGAAATGCCATCTTACGCCGCTAGGGGGTAATTTCCAATTATGAACTAATTCTTCATATGTTTCTGAACTTGCCATAATAGAGAAGCGCCCCTAGAAGCGAACGACGGCATTTCTGGGCAGAGGTTTTCATGCAATTTTAATTCTAGTCCTGTGCCCTCTAACTCCTCTAGACGTTTGTTACGACATTTATGAAACCTTCAGTTATATATAACGTTTTTAAACTTGTGCATTTTGACAAAAAATTTCATTTAAAAAAAATGTAGCTTCAGGAAGAAAACTAATTTTAGATATGAAATCCTCATACCCGAATTAGGCGAGATACAGTATTTATACTAATGTAACAAAAAGTCTGTTCCTAAGCGTCATAAACCAAAATCAGGTTATTCAATTTTTTACTAAGCTTGCCATATGTCATATGTTTACTGAGCAAAACGCATAATTTAGCAAGGAGCAGATGAAGATGAAAAAGTTCAGTCTTAATATCCAATAAACGTGCGCGAGTATCCTAAATATCCGCACTTAGGACTGCTATTTCACACTTGTTAAAAACCCTATAAACACGCTGAGAAGCATTAATACCATATATTATTTGAATAAAATTACTATTCAAGAAAACTCACGTGGTTAAGAAAATACAATTGTCGGATATGTAAACATTAGAAACGATTGATGACAGTACAATTTATGACTTAAAGGTAGAAGGGTTGACAAGAAGACATCAAAAGAAAACATTTAGGAACAAAAAATTAGAAAAGATAAATACGATAATAAAAACATGAGGGGCGAGAAACTAAGAGAGGAGCAATTAACCTGTAACACACACAGACAGCCTTAGGAAGAGCCAAGAAGATATTTTCATGCAGAATCTCGTTATAAAAAACTTCATGATGCATAATAGTGAAATACACTGAACATTTTGCTATTTTAATTTAAAAAAATGCTTTTTTTAAAAAAAATGAATTAACCGTTAACTTTAACTGTTTTTGTGTTGTATACTTTCGTAAACTGTCAGGCTTATTTAGAACACCTTATATAACCAACTAGAAGTTTTAATGTGCTGACTCTAAACCATTTGTCTTATTCTGGAATCTCATTAGTTTTTTGTTTTTCTTTTAAGTGCAGTAGGAAGAAAAATTTGTTTACATGATATTGAAAATTGATCAATGGCAAAACTCCCAGCCCAAGAGAAATAAAAATTAGTTATTTATTGTTATAAATTTAAAGACTTTCATAAAATAAAATTTATGCATAATTAATGGGTTAAAGAGTCTTTGTGCTGAAATAAAAACTTTCTAAATTTCATTACTGTTCATTATTTGCTTAACAATGACAACAGTTGTGTTATGTTTCAGTATAGGTCACTTCTTCAATAGGTGCTTCACCTATTGTAAAAGTAGAGTAATTCTCTAATAAGATATTTTGCTTGATTCTATCACATTTAATCATATATTATGTTACAAAAATCTCACAAATAGATAACGCTAAATATATATTTATATTCATTTTTCCTGCACATAAAATCTGTAAAAAGCTTATTGTCTAGGAATTTATTTACAAGGAATTAAAAAACCTTTTTACAATAAATGGTAAAAAATATATCGCTGTAAGACATAAAATTGAAATATTTTTTACAGCAATACCTTGTAAAGGTGTAAAATTTGAAAGTTGATTTTCAGTCAAATTGTAACAGCTGACAGATATCAAACGACAAAAATAAGTTTAAATTTTATTTTAATATTTGTGGGTGTCATTTTATATTGAAATAATTTTAAAATGTGATCATCCAAATATAGATGATCTATACATCAAAAAAAGGTAAAATTGGAGAATTCCATTTTATTATTATTAATAATAAATGTTTACTCGTTTTATAACCTATGTATCATAGTAATCAGTTTAATAAAAAACTTTTTTTTAATTAATGACTAAGAATAGGTTCAATTTAATTTTTTCAATACTAATTCAAAATAACATTTTATGAAAAAAAGTTGCGCAGTTCCAGATTTAGTTTCTAAAAAATGGATTGCTATAGATTTGGTATCGAAAAAATTAGTTGCTCACCCCTCATACCAATTTTTTAAATTTTTATCCTTTTTTTAGAACATTTAGACAGTTTTGCTTTCCACAGTTGTTAGGTTTTCACATTCACCACATTAAATTTTTGTTGCAACTAAAAATAACAATAATCATACATAATTCAATAAACCTACTTTAATATGTGTTTATGCGAATATAGATAATGTATAGAAAATTAAAAAGTAAGTCATAAAATTAAAAAGTAAGTCATAAAATTAAAAAGTAAGTCATAAAATATTTATTTTTATAGAAAAAGTTATAATTGTAGTAATTCATTTTGATTACTAATACTTAATTTTTACTCTTTTTAAAATGTATGTGTCATAGTAATCAATTTAAAAATAATACTTTTTTAATTAATAACTAAGGTATAGAACGGTAATGGTAAGCAACTAAGGTAAGAATAGGTTAAATTTTATTTCTTCAATATTAATTCAAAATGATATTTTATGAAAACAAGGTGCACAGCTTTTCTTTGAAGTGAATATATGTATCTAGATTTAATTTCTAAAAAATAGATTGCTATAGATTTTGTTATAGAATTTTTTTTTTTTTTTTTTGTATTCTTTTTTAGAACATTTAGATAGTAATTCTCTGGAAAGTTGCATTCTTCCCTTTTACAGTGTAGTTGATTGAATCCTTAATAACAGTGTTGCTTAACACAGTCGTCCAGTCTTCAAGTTCTCCACATGAAATTTTTTGTCGAGACTAAAAATAACAATAATCATACGTAATTCAATAGACCTATTTTAAAATGTGCTTATGCAAGTATATAAAATGTGTCAAAAATTAAAAAGTCATAAAATATTTCTTTTGATAAAAGTAGAATAATTGTAGTAATTCATTTTTATTATAAATAATAAATTTTTACTCTTTTTATAACGTATATATCATAGTAATACTTTTCAACTAATAACTGAGGTACAGAATGGTAATGGTAAGTAACTAAGGTAAGAATAGGTTCAATTTTATATCTTCAATATTTATTTAAAATAGCATTTCATGAAGAAAAAAAAGGTTCATAGTTTGTCTCTGATGTGAATAATTCTAGATTTAGTTTCTAAAAATGAATTGCGATAAATTTGGTTTCTAAAAAAAAATTAGTTGTTCTCCCCTCTCCCTACACTGATTTAAAGAATTTTTTAATTTTCTGTTGTTTTTTTAGAACATTTAAGACAGTAATTTGCTAGAATGATGCATTCTTCCTTTTGCAGTGTAGTTGATTGCATCCTGAATAACAGCATTGCTTTCCACAGTTGTTAGGTTTTCATATTCACAAAAATAAATTTTTCTGCTGATACTAAAAATGCAAGACAATAATGCTTAATAAGAAAAAAAACTTTATAGTTTTGACAATCATTACATATTTAATAATTGAATAAAACCAATTGAATCAATATATTAACATGATAGAAATATTTTTGCCATTGTTTAAAAATATGGACATATCAACACTACCAGAGTGTGTTAAGTTATAATAAAATAAACAATTATTTATGATTTTTTTTACATCCATATTGCTGTGTATAAAGAACAGATCTCAGAAACATTTTTATTTGCAGCAAAAACACACAAATATTATACAAATTTTACACAAATGATATATACTATTTAGAGTATAAAAAAAAGCAAAATTTAGTAGTAATTTGTACATTTATTGTGATAAAACATAAATTGAGCATTATCCAGTCATTGCGACTTCATGGATACTAATTTTCGCTGTCTTGTTCTGAAAAAGAAATAAATTTTTGAATGGAATTAAAAGTTTATGCAGACCACAAAACATACTTCATAACTGTTAAGCTAACAAGGGAAGTACTTATCTCAAAAATTACAATAAAAACAAAGTTAAGCTTCACTTGAAGAGCATGTTTGAAATCCTAGGATGGGGTACAAATTAACCGCCAAATCTGTCCCTAGTGTAAAATATGCCCCATTAAAGTTTCAGTTAATTTACTCATTAACAAAAACTTCTGAACTTGCGTGTAATTGAGAAGTATTGTATTATTTATCAGAGCGGCCACTCTGCAGACAAAGCGAATTCTCCAAAATATTCAAATTAAAAGTTGTGAAGATCTGCAGACTGTCACAGTTTAAATTAAGAGTATTTTCGATAATAACTTAAATCATATATACAGTAAGACAGAATGCATAGGTGTAAAAATTTTCCTTAAAATTAAAATTCTTAACTTTTAATTGAAAATAGTTCATTATTTTATACCTAAACTTTTAATAATATTAAACAAAACAAAGAGATTTAATGGTGAAAATATTTTTATTTAATAATTTTGTTAATAAATTTTATTAATAATGAAATCTTGAAATAGTAATAACTATAGAAATGAATTAATTTCTGAAAATGTTTACAATCTTTCTATTTTCAGAAATTTAATTGAAGAAACAAATGTTTGTTTAATAGAAAAAGGAAAAAGAAACATTATTAAATAGAATTAATTTAGTAAAATCATGCAGATGACAAGAAAAATTATAGTGCAATTGGAAAAAAAAATTTATAAGACATGATTTATACAGTTTCAGTGTTTAATCAAACAAAACAAATTTATAGAAATTCTCTCACAATATAGTTTAGAGTAATAATTGTAATATTAATACTAAGAAATTCCAGGGCTGTTTGTAAATTTTCCTGAAAGTTTCAAGAGTTTTAAGCCATATTTTTGATTTTCTGGAAATTCTGAGTTTTTTCTATTTCTAGAGAGAGAGAGGCCACTATGTTTATGTTCAGAAAAAGACATAAAATTCAGAATAAATTATTTATTATAATAATTTTCATCTAAATGAAAAAAATCTTGTAAAATTACCTTGTACTGAAGTTGCAAGTAAATTTCAAATTTAAAAAAAAAATTAATAGCTTTAAATTATCAAAGCTAGTAAAGATAAGTTAATAGCAAAAAGTTAGCTCAAAAACAATTTACTGTTGTACAATGAAAAGTGAAAAACATTACAGTAAATAAGTTTTCAAAAATAAACCTCTTATAACAGGTACAATAAAAGAGCTTTATAAGAGTCATTTTACTTGTAATAGTTTTAAATAAACTTGTAACAACAAATTCCTGCAATACAAACAAGCATAAAATTTAAATAATTCAAGAGTATTGGAACTTTAATAAAATATTACTTAAATGTAAAATTCTAGTTTTATAAAAAATGCATCAGGAAGATGGAAAAATTTAGCCAATGAAACAATTAAAAAAAAGATTAAGTCATAGTGATTACCTTGATTCTGTTCGATGGGACGTATATTCAAACCACATAACATTTGGAATGAGTGTTGTATCTCTTAACATCAGAAATTCACTTATGGGCCTAAAATAAGAATAAAGAAATATTAATCTAAGTAATGTTAATAATATTAACAACTATTGAGAATGCATATCAATAATATTTCTTAAGAAAGTTTTAAATAAGAAAGTTCTGGCTCTAATAACTATGATGCAGCTTTTCTTCAAAATTATAATTTTTTAAACATGTAGTGTTTTTTCTTCTTTTTTTTAAAAAATGTAAAAAATAAATTCGCTTTTTCATTATTTCAGCCATTGCTAGTGCAATCATGAAAAGTACTTTGTTTCATTTATCAAAAATACTATTTTAAATAAATTATATACCAATCTCAATCACATAAATGTATATGTGTGTAACTTACATAAAGGTAACTTTCACAAAGCAGCAATGTTTAAAACTGTTAATTAAGACTGAAATCTGTTCTTAATTTTACATCAGTCCAGACCATTCATATCAGAATAGCTTTACTGCAAATTAAATTGCATAATTACAGAATTGATAAAAAGATTGATTAATAGAAAGTTAAAAGTCAATAATTGTCTCAATTTCTTTTACATAATTGTTTTTCTGATAGTATCAAAAGTTTTATTTTAAAACTATTTTAAAACAGCAAAAAAAAGCATTAACACAGTTAAGCAAATAATAATGAGTTACGTTTCATTTCTACAGCAACAGGAGAACGTTCTTTGAAGGGGAGAGATAGAATAAATAAAATAAATAATCTTTAGAAAATTCCTTACATAATTTTTTTTTAAATGTATGACATAGTAAATGGAAAAATATGGGAAAAAACTACAGTTTAGGAAACAATTATAATTTTTTATTTTGTTTGTTAGTCGGTAGAGCTTAATAAATTGGATCAGTAAAATGTACATACCATGCTGCAATTATTGGAAAAAGTGGAGTTAATGTAAACTGTGTAAAGGCAAACCACAAACATGCAAAAATGATGCCTAAAAGAGCTCCCCACAACACTTGATTCCATGTATGATATTGCAAATAGATTCTGAAATATGAAAATGTAACTGTAAACATATACAAGCATGTATGAGCACAAAATAAAAAATGGAATATCTAACTTATGTTTATCTATTGATTGAATCACAGCAAATTAAAATGTAATCTTAATGATTGTAAAGGCTTGTGTAAGCTAACTAATTTGTACAAAAGTTATTTTAAGTAACAAAATCAGCACACAAATGTTACTTTCTCTGCGCATACCTTTGATGGATTTGGATTTTAGTCCCTCAAAATATGGGGGTAGTCAGAATTTGCAAACTTTGATATCAATAGTTTAAGCAAGACATTCATAAGTTTGTGCCGTTTAAAGGTAAATTTACTTTTTTCATAATTTTTTAAATTTGTATTAAAAAAACATACTCTTACATTTTTATTTCTCAAAAACTCTTTGTTATAATATCACTTCTATAGTAGAAAGGTTACCAAATTTCTGATTTACTCATTTAAAAACTTTTACATCGAATCATTATTGGACAAAGGAATTTTATAATCATGTGCAAAAATTATTTTATCAGAAATAATTCAAGATATATAGAGAAATGCATAATATGAAATAAATATTGAGTAGCTGAAACGTTCAGCTATTCTCCTGCTTTAACTATTGAGACTATATATTTTTCCAGTTGCAAAACATTGTGTGAGTATCATTTTATAATATAATTTAATAAATATTAAATACGTAATTATATATAAATAAATACATAACAAATCATTTAGAAAATAAATAATTTAGAGAATGATTTTATAACACTATTATAGAAATTGATTATTTTGTTCTGCCCAAATGTAAAATAGAGATAAAAATTAAACAAAATTATAGTTTCTTACCTACTATATGTAACAATAGCTGCTACACACATGAAAAGTAAAGTAAGGAAATATTTCCATGCATTTTCTAATGGATACGTATTATTTCCATGATGCAGTCTAAAAAAACATTAAGTTATTTTAGGTATTTAGTTAAACTGATAGGATAAAATAATTTCAATAAATTGTTTAAACATGTATGAAAGGTGCCAAATAAAAACAAGTTTATACCATAGGATATTTTAATGCTTAAAAAAAAAGAGTATACTTAATGAAAATATTTTTTTTTTCACTTTTTAAATAAATATATAATTTAAGACAAATAGTGAAATGATTACACTGGAGAAAGAAAAAAAAATCGGTTGCATGAATTTTTTAACAGATCTTACAAGGGAAACTAGGGAAGTGTGACTCGCCAATTTTGAAATAAACTAGTGAGCTGTATGCCTTATGAGGAATAATTTTAGGGGGCAACATTCGTTTTGGCCCATAGAAGGTCCTGTGAGAGATAATAAATAATTCAATATATTTAAAAATCGGTATTTTATTACTTCAATGCAGACTATTAGTTATTGAAATTGTCTCATACTCCAATTAATTATTAATTATTAATTAATTAATTATTAATTAATTATTAATAAATTATTAATTAATTATTAATTTATTATTAATTAATTATTAACTATTAATTAATTTTTAATTAATTATTAACTATTAATTAATTATTAATTAATTGATTTGCAATTATTACATACTCCAATTGATTAGGAAATTTTTTTGAAGAAAAAAAATTTGATGTCAATTTTTTTTAAAATTAACCGAACAGGTTTTTCTGAAAAACTGCAAATATATAAAACTTTCGAAATCAATTTTGACAATAAATATGCATTATATAGTACGTGAAAGTACCACAAAATTAATTGGAGTATTACAATAACTAATAGTCTGCATTGAAGTAATAAAATACCGATTTTTCTATATATTGAATTATTTTTTATCTCTCACAGGACCTTCTATGGGTCGAAACGAATGTTGCCCCCTAAAATTATTCCTCATAAGGCATACATCCCACTAGCTTATTTCAAAATTGGCGAGTCACATTTCCCTAGTTTCCCTTGTTAGATGCTTTTAAAATGCTGATTTCAAATCTGGTGTCAGTTTTGCTCCACAAACTACAGTTTTTATGCAATTTACTAAAAAATCTGAACCAGGATTTTCTAAAATTCATAAATTCATTTGAGTGACTAGCAAGTGTTCCCACTTCTCTGGTATGTAGGCGTAGTGTTAGAAAGAAGGCAAAATATGCAGCTATGGTGCTACAAGTTAAGATCCCATGTTTTTTGTCATTTGTATTATTTACAAATAAGCAGATGAGAGCCGTGTTGGCTCAAGGGAAAGAGCACTCGCCTCCGAATAAGGTGACCCAGGTTTGAATCCCTGGTCAATTCGAATTCCAAACCCGGCTCGCACCGACCACAATGATGACGTAAAATATCCTCAGTCATAGACGAATCATGGGTTAAGAGTCCCCTTGCCACCAAGCTAACCATGGGAGGTTTTCCTCTCCATGAAATGCAAACTTGGGTTAGTTCCATCAAAAAGTCCTCCACAAATGCAAATTTCTCTCAATACTTGATGCAGGAGTTCCCTTCAAAATCACAAGGCTATGGAGTTGAACATTGGTAGTCGTAAATTAAAAATTGGGTTGGCTTACGAACGACGGTTATAAAATAAGCAGATTATCTTTGTTTATATATATAAATATACTAGCTGAATACCCATTCCTGTATGGAGTGAAACATTAAGTAACAATGAATAAATCCTGAAAAACACCACAAAACTGTGCATAAAACGGGAAGACAAATACTGACCCAAATAATAAATCTAAAATAATTCCAATGTTTTTGTTGTTTTTTTTTTACTATTTGTTGCCCTTCTTGGTAATTTTATGCTGTCAGATTAAGCAAAAAACTTATTTAGTAGTTCATCAAATCTAAATAAGGATTAACTGTATTCAGTATCATCTGGCATAATGCTGTTGCTCGAGGCAACTCAAGATATTTAAATCTTTTCACAATCAAACTACTTTCTCCTGCACTTATATCTTTGAGGGGTAGTAAAAAACCTGTCATAAAAATGTACAGATTTGGTGCAGCAGTAAACGACATCAAATTTACTCATAAAATACTTTTTACCTACATAAGAGTATATTTGGTACCGATTAATACTGTACCAATAACCATGATACCAGTAGTGCAAATTACCAAAATCAGACGTGCCAACCTAGCAAAATTAACATTCAGGAGTTTCCCTAACAAGAATTCAGGAGATTTCAGGAGGGGTAAAAAAAGGTGCACGGTATGCAACATTTGACACTTCTAAGGAATTTTAAGTAAAAAATTTTTTAAATATAAGAATGCAAGAAATTTTACACACTAATAGAGCACAAATTGTGGAAAAATATTAAATGGAAATAAAACAATTAAACACAGATTTAGCAACACAAAACTATAGTAGGTAGATACTCTTAATTTAAAAAATAAATACCATTTCCTTAATAAAACATTATTCAAAAACCCTTGACACTGTAATAAAAATGCACAAAAACTTTTAAAAGATTAACAAATTGAAGAACTATATTTAAAAACCAATTCAATACTAATGTATAATAATACTAATGTCTGTACAATAGAGAACCAATTATCCGGGATGCTTGGGACCATTGCTATCCCGGATGTCTTAATCTCCCGGTTTTCTGGATCGACCAAAAAGTGTCGTTAATCGATGTTTTATCGAACCCAAATTACAAGGAGAAAGTGTAAACACATTTTAAAGTAAGAGAAAAAAGAAAAGCACTCCTAAATCTAAAAAGGAAAAAAATTGTAGAAAAATAACATTTAAAAGAATAAAAAAATTTGCAAGTTTAGACAAGAAAAACAAGTTTAAAAAATAATTACAATTCCTAAATTAACTAATAAACAAAACCAAGGATTAAATAACGCAATATATTTCATACCTAATTATAGGGGGGGACGATAAAATAAAAGGAAAACTTATTAATCTAAATAAAAACAACACTTAAAATTATCGAACCGAAACGATAGTTCAAAAAAAGGCACTAGCATAAATATTAAAACCTGGAACATGGCAAGATCAACTGAATCCAATTCCGCTTTTTTTTTTCATATCGTTTTAGTTCAAAATGGCAGGAGAACCGAGCAAAATTTCCCCCCGGATTATCTCGATACCGGATAAATGGTTCTCCACTGTATGCATAAAAAAGAGATGCAGATTTAGCTCCTTGCAATTAAGTCCTGCTAAAGTCATTGGTACATGATTTGTTGGAATTGGTTGCATACTTCCGTTTCGACTTAGACATTCTTGAAAAAAAAATTATTTTTAATGTATGAAGACTAAACGAATAATGCTGCCAACACCGGAAAAATACGCAATAAAAGCTATAAAATCAGCAAGATACAATATCAATTCCAACTATCGAGAGTACGAGTTTCTCCACTCCTGTACGGACGTCACTCTATATCGTCATGTGACGTCATCGCATTCAACTTCACACAAAAGGAGAGGAAGATGAGATTCCTACAAATCCCAGTGTAAGGGGGCGGGTGAAATAGGAGTGTTAAAGAGGGGGGGACATAAAGCACATGCAGCTACGCTTCAGGCAGATGGTAGTTCGATAAGAGGGGATGGAATTCACGCTGAAAGAAAAACATAACTTACGCACTCGCGGAAAAATTATGTAATTTTGAGTTTGGCCGTCGATTGCAGTAAAATTCGGGAGTTTTTGGAATAAATTCTGGAGGTCGGGAGAATAACTCAAAATTTGGGAGACTCCCACAAAATGCGGGAGAGTTGGCACGTCTGCCAAAATTAAGTATCATTTGAGTCAATAGTAAGGGGCCTTTTTCAGTTACCCATAATGAATAAGTACATTTTTCCATTAATTTTTCTTTTTAGTTCATATCTTATTTTTATTTTAATTAATACCTATTACAAAAAATTTATTAAGTCAATAATCAATCGTCAATAATATTTTGCAGATTTTTGCAGGCAGAGAATATTTGCAGAAGTGCTCTCTTAGACGAATTAGTAACATTTCTCCAATAATCGTGCTTTATAGTACATAATTTATAATTTTTCTTCAATTAGTAACTATTACCAAAATTAATTATAATTGGCAACAAAAATAATATTGGTATTTTTATGTTCATTCTCAATGAATTTTACTTATCAGCACAAAACTTTTTTTTAATTTCAATTGCCATTGATTTTAAATTATTTAATTTTATAGTAACATGGCTAGAAACAAAATAATCACGTGGTTAAGCAATACTGCACGATCATGTTATTGGTCAGAAAGCCTGGCAAAATGAATATAAAATAATTAAGTATTACCGAAAGTGCAATAAACAACTTTTTGGAGAAGAGCTTTAAGCCAACATATATAAGTATTGTTATCTTTAAAATATTTTACAAAACTGAACCGTCTATACTTTATTTTAAAACAATGTCTTTTGTTTAGCCAATGAGAAAATTCTTTTCTCTAAGTGTCTCTAAATTTTACATATAATAAAAAAATCAAAAATCAGACATAGTCATTTGTTTACAATTGCACTCATTTAGCTTCAAGTTGAATGACGTATTTTTAGAGCCTATGGTTTACCTGCAATCCGGTATACAGACACACACCCAAATTCTTTATTTTATCATATGTATAGATAAACCCATACATTCTTTGTAAACTTATACATTCAGACAAAACCCATTCATACAAATCAGCCATTTAAAAACATTCAGCAGTTTTCAAGACAAAACTAATTTCATATTTGAAAAAACCACACACTCTATTTAGGTAAGATCAAGAGCTTAAATAAATGCAAGAAAATTTTTTTTTACATTAAAAATACAGTTTAAATATTTTTTTATCTATTTATTCTAGCTTTTATGAAATAAAAAATTTCAAATTATTTATTACAAATTACAGTCTTTAGGACTCAAACTATCCATATTTACAGAGTTTTTATAAAGTAAATATATAATAAATATAAGAAAAAAATTATGAATATTTCATATGAAGAAGAATGAGAACATAATTAAAAATTAAGTAAAAACATATAAGGTTTAATGTAAATATCAAATAATAACAAAATTTTAATTATTTTGCCAAATAGTCTCATGATATTTGAAAGAAGCTTTGTCATAAAATATTTAGGCATGTTTACATTTACAATGGACAACTAGAGCATTGCTTAGAATTTTGAGTCTTCGATTCTAACTCATTTGATAGTAATCATGTCTTAAATCTGAAACTCTAATTTTTTTTCCTCGCAAACTTAATTTAAATTTACATTCCATTTATTTACAAGCTCAAATAAATTTCAATTGCAGTCTGACTATTTATTTTACAAAACTCAATGAAATATTGACTAAGAATAGAATAAATTATATTTTCATAAAAATCCTTAACAAACATATTAAAATAATTAATAATACATGAAAATAGTAAGAAAAATAATTTGAAGCTAATTCAGTTTAGAGATAATAGCCTTCTATATACACAAATATCAAATCAATATAGTGCACTTATTGATACGACGATACAACATTTATTTTTATATCGACATTTTTCATAAGTATAAAATTTTAAAAAACTAAAGAAAGAATAAAATAAAGAAGAAAAAATTTACATACAGTACATAGGGCAACTCCATGATGATTGACATTACATTTTGATAAAGTTTTGATATTTTTAAACTTTTTTTTCACTGATAAATCTTTAATAACTTTTTGTAAATTATATGGGATAACTTTCACTAACTTAGGATCTTTATGCATATAGGATAAAGGAATGGATATTATAAATGTTTTAATTAGAAAAAATTATAAACTGTAACTGACACTACATTGAAAGAACATAGAACAAAACATATTTTTATTTTAAAATTCTCTTTCTTCTATAAGAAAGAATGGCAATATATTTTCAAATTTAATTGAAAAAATACTTTGAATTAAAAGTAAACATTGAAAGTACACATGAAATGAAATATAGAAAGTTGCTAATAGAAAAAAACACTTGTGACTGATGTTGCAATATTATGTCACAGATATTATGAATACAAACTATATTAACATTTTTATAAACTTTTGTTATTGTTATAGCAAAATAATAAATTGTTATGTTGTTCTTTGTATCATGGAATTGACTATTATAATAATTCAGAGAACATGATATTTGTAGCAGGAGTTTCAAAAATAAATAAAATAAAAAAACTCAAGAACAGTTTAATAAAATGTATTCAATAAAAGTTGTTGATCAATCAATTATGATGAGCATTTTTAAAATATAATATGCTGAAGATTTTGATGTTGTATGATTTTAATGTGGAGCATATCATCAAAATCATACATAATAAAATAATCATTTTGATTTCATAAAAAATTGCCTTTAACACTCAAGCATAACCAGGGGTCTGTCCAGGCCGAATTTACTACCGTTTAGCGGTACCTTCACAAATTCAACTTTTAGGAAAAACGGTAGTTTCACAAATTCAATTTTAGGAAAAACGGCAGTTTCACAAAATACTTTTTCTTAAAATTTTATTTTTGCATCCCTTAAGAAGCGATAAATCCATATTTTTGTGTTGATTTTTAAATATAATTTTTAATTTTTCACAAATTATGTCTAAATTTTCACAAAATAGGTACCTCTCAGAAAAACCTAGACAGACCCCTGATAACTCTCAAAGATACTAAATAAATTTTTATTAAACTAAATTTTCTATGAAACCTTACCTAATTAGCAGAAAAAATGCCATGTAAGTAGCAAAAAACCACATAAATTGTGCATGATTTGAGGGCATGCCATATTCAGAAAAAAGAACCTCTCGACCTAAAATATAGACAAGTAAATTAGTATTTCAGAACCAAGAATCTGAAATTTGTCATGATTAATAATAGAATACAATATACAATTTTGCTATTGTTCACAAAAGTAATTTTAAACTAATTTTTTTTTTAAATAATCAATGTTTTGAAAAGAAATAATTGAAAGTTAGTTAAAAGCTATTGAAAGTTAATTCCGTTGAATTAATTTAATGATTTCTGACATCCAGTTTAAACTAAACTTTAACTCCATCACATTTTCAATATTTTTTATAAAATAATGAGGAATGGAAATGATAAGAAAGAAGAAATACGCATTTATTAAAAGTTATAAGTAATTTTATAAAATTCATTTAGTTTAAAAAAACAATATGAAAACAAAATTATGCCACATACCACTAAAAAGTATACAAGACACAAAAAATACATGAAAGTGGTACCAAAGATATTTGTCAGTTGAATAAAAAGAGGAATTTTTTTTCCTCTCTCAAGAGCACAAAAAAAAAATAAAAAAAAAAAAATTATTAAGTGGACAAATGATAAAGTATATTTTGCACTATTTCAAATGCATATATTGGAACAGAATGCATTCATTAGTTAACAAAAAAATAAGTATATTGGACAGGGAAATTAGGAAAATGAGAAAATTTGGCAATTTTCGTTGTACACATACACAGGATTCCAAAGACATATATATGTTGTGAAAATAAAATATATTTAGTAATTAATAATAAAATATTCATGTTGAACAGAGAAATTAATAAATTCAGAAAATGTATCTATTTTAATTAAAATTTGGCTCAACTATTTTAAACAGGGGTTGTGCACAAAGTAATTAATAAATTAGACAATGAAAAAAGATGGAAATTTATACTTTGAAAAAAGTGAAAGGCACTGAGATTAAGTCTAGTACTCAAATGTAATAAAATTTCACACAAAACGAAAAAAAAAAAAACTAAAAACAGGTCACTTCAATTTGGAAAAACAATGAGATAATAAAAATTTAAAAGGAAGAAAACTTTATGTGAATTGAACATTATCACAGACACATACCATGACAAGGACGCACTTCTTTAATACAATGCTTCAAGATCCAATTAATAGCTTCGTTAAGGACTGTACCACCAAAAAAAGAAATCTGGGAGAAAAAATAGATTATATATATATATATATAAACACGATAACACATTGTATGTCAGTACGTCATTCATATGAATACCAAAAAAACTCAAAACCTTATTAATAAAAATCCCAAATAAAGAAACATGTTTATTTTGTTCAATTGTTTCATTATTATCTTTATTATTTAATTAAAAATCTTTGACAAAAATAAGTATATTTGTTATTAATCTCATTAAAATTTCTCTAAAATAGAAGATACTAATAATTTGTAGAATCACTAATAAGAAACACTTTCAATTTTAAAAAGGTAATGTTAAAGAAATCTTTGGGCAATACTTAGAAGTAAAAATTTCAAATACTAGCAAAATATTTTCATTATAACAATGACTTCTTTACAATTTTGAAAAAGAAAACTAATATTTCACCCGGAATAATTAAAATCTTTATACACATAATAAAAAAAAAATAATAAAATGCAAAAGCAATAAAAGATAAACAGTAGAAGATCTATCTAATGCAATTCAACAAACTGCAACTCTCATATATCATGTTACTATCTTTACAATCGTTAAAGCAAACCAAATTTGATAAATTATTAGGATTTTATTTCTAATGCTTTTATGCATTTCATAATTTCAATTTTTTCCATATTTAAAATTTACTTTAGCGCATATTTTTATATTTTAAAATCTTTGCATTTAAAAATTATTTTAAAGCTATTGCTATTTTCCATATATATTGCCATGTTTAGTATGTTTGTTTAATGATACATGAAATGGTCTATTTAGCAAAAGCTCCAATACAGTAGGACCTTGAATGATCATTTCTCAGTAGACCATTTATAAAGAATGATACATGCAAGAAAATTACAAAAGTGCATTAACATTAAAAATCAAATAACTTGAAAAATAACAAATGTACGAAAAGTAATAACGTAATGGACTTAGAAACTAATAAACTTACAAGAAGCATAAAATTTCTAAAGAAAAAATTATGTATTTTAATGTGAAATTATTTATGATGCAAAAGAAAGATGAATAAACATTGTTTTATTTCAAATTTTTAGAAATTTTGATTTGAACACACTCTTCTCAGCGTAAAAAATAAATTTTCAACATTTGTAACAGATTGCTGCTGTTTATTTTCTGTAAGTTCCTCATTGTATCTAAATAGTAAGAATGCTCCTTATTGTAAGACTATTCCTCATTGTTTTACAGGATTTGAGATTTTTTGTAAATGTTGGCAATGGTTATGTTTGTCTTCAGATTCCGCAACAATTTCCTGAACCAACACAAGTAAGAAATGTACTATTTATATGAGTTTTCCTCTAACTTTAATAAATCCTCATTTCATTTTTTTTTTTCAATATTAGCAGCAATCAGAGTTGTCATTTTTCTTCTCAAAATTAATAATTTCAATATTTTTTAAAAGGCAGAATTTCTGAACAATAAATGCAGGAATCATTTAGTTTATAAAACAATTCTAAACAGATATAATTAACATTCTAAGAATAGCATTTGAGATGGATTAATCAAACAAGACTATAACTACAAGAAAACAAAAGATGTGAAAATTATGGATTAAGGTTTGACTGTTTAGTGCAAGGTCTCATGTTTTAAGGTTAGTATCATAAAGATCTACTGAAGTAACTTACTTAGAAAACTAATTTTTCACATACAAGTAAACATTTAGTATTTAATAGAACTAACATAGAAAAAAGTAACAAATCAATGAAATCAAAGGTCAATAAAAAGACCTTTTCAAGAAAACTTAATTTTAAAAATATGACATACCATCAGATCATTTCCAAGGCTAATTTATAAGATGTTTTGCATCTAACTTAAATATACTATAAGAATGAATGAATGGTTTGAAAAAAAAAATATATAAAAATGAAGGCATTCAACACCAAATTTTCACCATCAGCACCAACACCATATTCTCCCTTAATAGGTGACATCACATTTGCATACAAAAACAATCCTAACACCAAATCTTCCATAAAATATTATAAATTTTACAAGGTTTGTTATTGTAAAATATTATAGTTTAATCACTCAATCAAAAAATTGAATATTTTTTTAATTTGAATTTTGGATTATTCCCTTTAAAATCAAATTAAATAGTAGCTATTACAAATTAAAGATACTTTGATATCAGATTATATATATATATATATTATAAATAAAGCTTACAGTGTGTAGATCTCTTCGAAAAATGATTAATGTAGCAAAGGCAACAACTAATGCTAGTGGACAAAGACTAGTCAAAGCTAAAAGTTTCCCAAACCAGTCACCTGTAAAAATCAAACAAGACATTTGCATATCAAAATAATTCTTTTTAAAAATAACTCTTAAATAAAAACAAGTAACTATTTTAATCAAATAACCTGTCTAATTACCAACTCAAAATTCAAACTATTTACAGGTACATTATTTTAACAAAATTTTATGTCTAGTCTAGCAATTAAAAGAGTTTGAAATAGTTTAATAAGGCACATTTTTGATCAATTCTTAATCCAATATAAGCTTAATAATTCTAAGACTCAAGTAAAATCTAAACTAAAAGCAAGAAGTGCTTTATGAGTAGCATTTTTATTTTTTATAAATTGTGACTTCAGTCTTACAAAAAAAGTTTTCTTTATTCAGTGAGAAAGTTATAATTTAAAAAATATTCTTAAATTTTGCCAACAATTTCTTTTCTTCCTCATACTAGAACATGAAATTGCTAAAAATAACTTACTTATCACTGAATTATAATAAAACTTTCAAATATAAGTTCTCAGAACAAAATAGAAAGTGTCAGTATTCATATCCATGTGACATAATGGTCCTTGAAAACTACACTAATTATGGGTGGTGTTTTCAATAGAAATGTAAACAATAACAATGTCGAGCTCGGCACCTACTCTAGTTCCGGTTAAAAAGTTTGAAGCTGCTTACTACATGTTATTCAGATAGGCGATGATTTGAAACGGATAATTTTGTTTTCAATAAAAGAAATAAATTAGATAATTTCTGAGCTCAAATCTGACATATTTCATAAGATATTAATGTTAATATGTAATTCTGGTGAATTTGAAGTGAAAATTTGTTTGTTTTTTAGAGATATATTGTTAAAAAAGGTGACATGGTTGCTAGATTTTGAATAACTCGCTTTTTTGGCAGTCTTAATATGGCCTCTTTCCATAAGTTTATTACTGTTTGTTCTTTGTCGCAAGCTGTGCACCATCTTACGTTAGTGTTAACACTTTTAGCATTGTAAACACCAGTATTGTTAGCATTGTAAACACAAGTAATATGTAATCAAATACATTGATTGCAAGAATCTCAAAACACAATGATGCCAAATGGCTTTAAAATACAACGGAAACAGTAACCCGGAAATTTAGGCATACCGAACTTACAGCGTTCCCTAGTGTAGAAAACACCATCCATAAAATAAAACATGGGTGAAATTTTTTATTAATTACACAAAACTTTAGTTGTCCAATTTGCAACTGAAAAAAGGTAAATAATAAAGAAAGATTTAACATAATATCTAATAAGAATAAATACTTAAAATAATTAGGAGTAATAAGGATAAACAAGGTAGTTTAAACCTAGGGGCACATTGAACCAGGCTTAATTATTTTAACACTTTTAGATATTTTTGTTTATTTCTTCCATTAACATATAGCATCACTAGTACTACAAATCCTATGAAAGAATCAAATGGCTCAATTAAAGTGTACCATTTTTATTTCAACAAGTTGTATTAACACCATTCAAAAACCGCTCAGTCAAATTAGTTAAAGCATAAATAAAATTTCAAATTATAATCTGAGAGAACGTTCCCGTAAAAAATCTCTAGTAATTGACTGCAATTTTTTTTTTTTTTCGTTCAGCAAGAAGAATTATCTGAAAACACAACGAAAAACAAACCGGTTTGATATTCCACATGGCTTATAGCAAGAGAAGTCCATTCATTTACGAATTTCCCCGAGCTTCCCATCTTTAATGAAATACGTAAAAAGTGAAAAGCATATCTCTTGTTTCACAAGAATATGTTTAATACGTGGAATTTCAAAGTCCAGAAATGGTATATCACGAACTAATACAACTCAACTAAATTTTTTTAGTCTTAACCATTCTTTTTTTATTGCAATAATGATAACAAATTTAAAAACCTAGCGAATTAGTTTTAGTTTTGTAATATTTAAAGTTTAGTATTATTGTTGTTATTTTAATGTTATCGCTTCCAGCTACTTGTTTCTGTAGACTTTGAGTATCGAATTTTAAACAAATAATTATGTTGGGTCTCTATCTTTTAAGGAATTGGTAACTAATTTTAAACCATAGTTTCTACTACAGAATGGCAACAAGGAGATGATAACGTCCGATCAGTGGGCTTTTCGCACTGTGATTGGCTGTT